CGCTCCTCTCTCGTCAAAACCGTTTGCCGTTTTTAGAGCAAATTGTTACCGGAGATGAACAATGGGTGCTGTATGTTAATTTGAAAAGGCGGCCTCAATGGTTGGACAAAAATGAGGCTCCGCAGCCCACGCCAAAACCTGACTTGCATGCGAAAAAAGTGATGTTGTGTGTTTGGTGGAATTTTAAAGGAATTCTTCATTATGAACTTTTACCATCTAACCAAACCATTACAAGTGCAGTGTATAGTGCCCAATTGGAAAGGTTAGCCCAAGCTTTAAGAGAAAAAGAACCCGCGCTGATTAATCGGAAGGGCATAATTCTTCACCACGGTAACGCACGACCGCATACTGCAAGAATCACTGCTGAAAAACTGCGCCAGTTGGAATGGGAAGTTCTCCCTCAACCTGCATATTCTCCTGATATTGCCCCTTCCGATTACCATTTGTTTCATTCTTTGCAAAACTTTCTTCTTGGAAAAAAATTTAATAATGAAGAATGCCTCAAAAATGCATTGACCGAATTTTTTGCATCAAAATCACAAGAATTTTACAACAGAGGGATTAAAATGCTTCCTGAGTGTTGGGCACAAGTAGTAGAAAACAATGGCAACTATATTGTTGATTAAATTTTGTTGTATTGTTTAAATAAATTCGATTTAAAAAAGTATTAGAAAACGACATTAATTATTACTAGACCTAATAGGTTTGCTAGTACCCGTGTTTCCCCGAAAATAAGACATCCTCTGAAAATAAGACCTAGTGCATGGAAAGATAAGACATCCCCTGAAAATAAGACCTAGCACAACTTTGGGAGAAAAAAATTAATATAAGACACTGTCTTATTTTCAGGGAAACAGGGTAGGAAGTAGAGGGAGTCTCCTTGTGGCAGCTTCTAATTTCTGTGTTAAGTAGGGGTCACTCCTTCGATAGTGAGTAAAGGAGTGGTGATAATTAGGAGGGAAGGGGGGGGGTGTTCAGGAGAGCAGAGAAATGTGCAGTAGTCATTGTAGAGCGTTAGAAAAGATGGGCTTAAGTAGCAGTATTTAGGGGTGCTGACTATGGCTTTATAGATCTGCCAACTTGATCTGTTGTCAGAGGTCTGGTTTTTAGGTGGAAGATGGGTCAAAAGGAGATGGTAGTACAATCTAAGTTTGAGATTTTGCCAGAAGTTAAGAGTAAAGGTCAGAGAGAGAGAGAGTGTGTCAAGACTATTGATTCCCTATCATTCAGATAACAATCCTGCTAATGGATTCTGTTCTGGAAAGTGAAGAAATGGGAAACCTGATATATTAGCCTTGTCAGAGTTTGACAGGCCCAAAATAGGCCCTGCTTGCAGTTGAGCAGGTCAATTGGAAGAAAAGGAGGTTGTGGGCAGAGAGCAGGAAGGAGCTGGAAGTACCACCGTTGCACATGGGGACAAGATTCGCAGTGTCACCAGCCACATCAGAGTGGCTTAGGGGAAGGAGGTCATTGGAGGGCGAGTTGAAGGAATTGAAGGCAGCCTAGCAGAGAGGGGCTTGGCGGGTCAGATGTGTGAGGAGAAGTAAAGGTTTGAAGGGAGTAAAGGTTTAAAGTCCCATGTTGTAGAACTGCGGGAGCTGACCAGTGATGGCACTGTGGAGCTTGGCAGTCGAGGAGAGAATGTGACTTAGTGCCAAAGTCACTGATTAATGGGGAGGTATGACCCAGGAGGTTCATAGATGGCAGCCACGCCCAGAAAGGATTTCCCAGGAAAGCCTTGTGGCTTTTCAACTGAAGCCACCCCTCCCCACTCAGGTCTCCTTTCTTTCCAGCCTACTTTTTTATTGCTTCTAATTGCCCAGTTGGCAGTTGGGAAGCAATGCCTAGTAAGAAGTGGAGCAGTAAATGGAGCAGCTGTGACCTACCATATGCTTCTCTTTCTTCACCCCCCACCACCACCTCCTCCTCATCGACAGGTTCTGGAGTGCCGGCTCTGGAGCAGCCAGTCTGGGTGTGAATCCTGACTGCACAGTAGCTCCTCCGTGCTGTGGGCAGGTGACTTCACCTCTAGGTGCTCGAATTCCTCACCTGTATGACAGTTAAGGATAAGCGTGCTCTTGCTTCCATGGGTTGTGGTGAGGACTGAATGGACACCTGTCACTAGTGAATGTCCGCTGTTTTGATAATGATTTTCTTTTTTTCCCTTGGCTTTGTCTGGTTCCATCTATGGCACTAGAGATTTTGCACTGTTGCTAACTCCTGTTTTAAGATAAGAACAAGACATTTATTGACCCCCTGCTGTTTGCCGCATAGTGCCTTAACCATTAATCTCACAGTACCTTTCTCATGGGGTATTTGAGAGAAGTATTAATACCTGCACCCAACTGCCTATCACAGTCTCTAAAGCACAGGGGGTGCCTTTATCCTTTTTGTTGTTAATTCTCACCCAAGGATATTTTTTCCATTGATTTTTGGAGAGAATGAAAGGAAGGGAAGGAGAGAGAGGGGAGAGAGGCCAGGAAAGGGGATTGGGAGACTCCAGAGCCAAGTTGTAAAAGCCTCCCCAAGGCATATGGAGTTCATTAGAGTAGCACAAAAACCAGAGTTTTGTGGCATTCACAGTTTGACATAGTGATAGCAAAACCAACATTTATATTGTTCTGCATTTACAGTTTACAGAGTAATTCTGCATGCTTATTTGAGAGTCAAGGTACCTAAGAGGTTATGAACATGGACTCTGGAGCCCAAATTTTGGGTTCAAGTCTCCCTCCACTTAGTATCTTGGGTCTTGTTTTTTCATCTGTAAAATTTAACAGGATCTGGCTTGAATCCTGACCCTCTGACTTCTTAGTTGCTCGTTGGCTCTTAGGCTGAGCAACATACAACTTGTACAAAACTTCGATATTTTGTCCTCACAGTGCTCATCATAGTCCTCAAAAGTCACTTTTATCCTCTGCAGTTACTTTTTGGTAGTCAGTAAAGCACTTCCTTTTGGATTCTTCCCTACCCCTTAAAGCAAAGATTGCAAAAGTAGCTACGGGGTCAGGGTAGCCTGCAAAACAGTTTTATTTGAGCCATATATTTTTTAATAGTAGAAGTTGCTTTGAATTGCAGTCAGAACTTTCACTTTAAATCTAAGTCAAACAACTGGCACTCTAGGCTGAGGGTCTCTAGAGGTGTCAGTCAGCTGGAGCAGAGGTGCTGCTGTACCCTTAGCCCTTTTGGGTTGGGAAGGGTCCTCCCTGCCTTTACTGTCCTACACCCACACATCTCTCCCCCTGAGATTCCCTACCTGGTGGCTCCCATAGGCCTTTAAGTGTGTAATCCCTGCACTTGATTTTATAACCATGGGTTCCTCCGTAACTAGCAATCCTGATGATAGAGTCACAGATTGGTGGGTTGAGACCAGCGGCATTCCAGAACAGATTGTTTTAAAGCTTTTGGGTTATCAGGGACTCTAGCAAAGGCCTAATTCTTTCAGAAACATTTACTGACTAAGCTTAACTTTAACAAGGTAGCCATGATTAGAAGGAAACTTTATATTTGTAAAGTGCTCCTCAAGCGTGTCATACAGGGACAATTTCACCACCAAGCAGAACCTTCAGGTTATAGATGTAGATTTCTGGAGGCTAAAAGCTTAGCCACCAGTCTCATGGGTTAGATTTCATGGGTCCCTTTCATAGCCTGGGGGCTTCAGTTTAGAGAAGCCAGAACTATTTCCTTAGTGTTTCCTTTTCCGTGAAGTGCAGGAACCATGCCACAGAGCTCTCTTAAAAAACTATGTCACAGGCCTTATGGTCCATGAGCAAAATGCTTGATATTAATCATGTGGGTATTTGGCTCCTGTTTTCTCAATGCAGTAAGAAGATGTTGAAAAATCGGTTTGAAGGTTAAACTTTGCCACATCTAGTGAGTCTAGGTATTCATTTTTTACATCTAAAGTTCAGTCTAGAATAGGTGTGAAAAAAAGGAAATTTGTAACCTTCAGATCTATGTTCTGGGGTCATTAGGATAACTAATACCATATTCAAACCAATGGCTCTCAAGTTGTGCAAAGAAGGCTGGTGTTTTGGACGTTACCTGGATATGTGCATGGCATTCAGGGTAGGCTGCTTCATTGGTCCATGTTGGTGATATATTGAGCCTAACATATATGAACATGTATGATTGAATGGGTGTAGGGAATTCTGGGTATTTAGATAGGGTGTTCAGTGTTGTAGCCTTAGTACTTCTGTAAATAAGACTATCTCTTTGACATTGTGATTTCTGAATAACATTTATTTCTGTAAGTGTAACCTCCATGGTTAATCATCGTTCTACTTAGACAACTTTTTATATTTGTTTGCAGTTTTCCATGCATATTTTTATATAGCTAAAGTATTATTGTATTACCATGCTGCATTGATAACTACATTAACATACATTTTGTAGAATAGGAAAGTAGCTAGAACATGGACTATGAAGCCAAAATGCCCGAGTTCCATTTCTGGTTCCCCAGTTCCTGATAGGCAACAGGAGGCAAGTTACCTAACTTTTCTGTGCCTTAGTTTCCCCTGACAAATCAGAGATTCTCAACAGGGGCAGTTTTGCCCTAAGGAACACCTGGCAATGCCTGGAGACATATTTGGTTATCAAGATTCAGGGGACAGGTGGGGGGTATGTTACTGGCCGGAGAATGCTGCTAACCATCCCCGAGTGCACAGGACAGCTCCAAACTAAATAATCTGCCCCCAGGTGTTACTAGTGCTGAGGCTGAGAAGTCCTGCTCTAAGTAAGAGATAATAGTACCTACCTCATGGGATTGTTATGAGTACTAACTAGGTTAAAATGTGTAAAAAATTTAGAACAACGCCTAGCATGCAGCTGCTGTGTGTTAGCTATTACGGTTTATATAATCATTTTCATCACTTCACATCAGTATTTCTGTACTTTACAATCTTATAAATATTATTTTTAATAGTTTATGAATATCTTTAGCAAAGTTTCCTTTTATATAAACATTGCATACTCCTAACAGGCTTTTCTCTTTTCCTCATTAGATGAAATTAAAGCAGAAATAGAAAAGCAGAGGTAAGCTGGGGCACTTTCTCCTTGCTAACATACAATATTAAGGGAGTACGTGGTGGCTAAGGGAACCCATTTCTCTACATATTTTCTTATATTTCTGATCCTTGGGCAGCACACACTTTCCTAGCCCAGAGCCAAACACATTGTAGAACTCTGTATGTATTTGAACCGATGCTAGGTTAACAGGTTACTGGCTCAATAACTGTGTATTTGGAGGAAAGAGTAAGAAATAAGAAAGGTCAAGTTAATGCTGTACCTTTTCTTGACAAGAGGTAAAGTCCTTGCTTCTTGTATGTCATGCTTCCTTAAGCAGGACAGCTTGCCCCTGTGTCTGTTCCTCATCTTCACAGTAATGAAGCCAGTCAGTCACATTTCAGAAGTAGAGCTCTGACATGGCAATGCCAAGATTCACTCCAGGATGCAGTCAGTACACCTGTATAATCTGAGACCTTGCACTTGGGTATTTTGTCCAAATGCATGTATGTATTAACTTGGATTGTTTAGCCCCACAGATGCAGTTTGTAGGTATTTTTAATTAAGTGATTGCAGATGGGATGGGAAGTTAGAGTTAGGTGTAGGAAGAGCGAGCTTTTTGTTTTCTCATTTTCCCACACTGGCCCTCTCCTGCTTTTTTTCCTAGGCTTGGAACTGCCGCACCACCAAAGGCAAATTTCATTGAAGCTGACAAGTATTTCCTTCCATTCGAGCTAGCTTGCCAGTCCAAGTCCCCACGGGTGGTCAGCACATCTCTTGACTGCTTACAGGTATCATGTTTAAACTTTATTGTGTAAAGGGGGCTCTCTGCAGGCCACATTGATGATTCCCCTACTACTCAGAATACTCTCCGGGGTGACAGAAAAAGGAACATTCCAGCTTATTTTTTTTTTTTAATTGATTTTTTACAGAGAGAAAGGGAGAGGGAGAGTTAGAAACATTGATGAGAAACATTGATCAGCTGCCTCCTGCACACCCCCTACTGGGGATGTGCCTGCAACCAAGGTACATGCCCTTGACCAGAATCGAATCTGGGACCCTTGTGTCTATTGGCCAACGCTCTATCCACTGAGCCAAACCAGTTAGGGCCCAGCTTATTCTTTACAGATGTCTCATGATGAAAGGAAGTTAGAGGAGACTAATCTCTTTAGCTAAAAACAGAATTCATTCCCTAAAAATACTATTTTGTTGATCTCTTTTATGTATGTTTTTCTAAATGAAACCTTTAGCATTAATTGGAATATTTGCTGCACATGGACACGTAAGGAAATCTTATTTAATCTCTTCCTTGATGGCATTAAAATTCATAAAATCAAGTAGAGAAATAGATATATAACCAAATCTCATTATTTGTAGTAAAAATCTTATAAAGTTGTTATATGGGAACATGAACCCCTTCCCATGCTCCAGTCCCCCCTCCCACTCTGTGGGAAGACAATAAGACAGTAAGGGCCATCAGTTAAGCAGACTGAGACCTTGGGAGCCTGGCCAGCTCCTCAGGCAGGAAAAACGCATTTTTTATCTTCCACAGGCCAGTCCCCTTCCCCTGCATGCCCTGTTTTCCTCTGCTTTCTGTACTCTGTAAAACCTGTGTTGGGAAAGGCTGGGTGATTGAAACAAGAGCACCGAAATACTGCCTCCGGTGTGGCCCATCGCAGGCCAGATGGGACCTTGCTGTTCATACTCACTGGTGGCAGCTGGTGTGGCAGTAAACTTCACTTTGGGAATCCAAGGGCAATACCCTAAGGTTTTCTGGGATCTCAGCACTTTACATACAGTTTCAAACACTGGTTTAGTAAATTCTGTACCATTGTTCCTAGAAGAAATACAGAGTTAGGTTCCCTTGAGCCTCTGGCCCCAGCATGTTCATCAGCTGATCAGTATGTAACTGGTCTCTGGGTGTTTTGTTTAAAGACACCTTATTTGATATATACATTACTGATTCATTAAGAGTGAACTCACAGTGCGGGGAGGAGGAGTTAATGGAGGGATGAGGACACATATATAATACCTTAATCAATAAAGAAATTAAAAAAAAAAAGAGTGAACTCACAGTCCACAGTATTTGCACTTGCCTGAACAAAATTTACTTAATACACATAATGTCTGCATAAAGCACATCATTGTCTTCTTTCTCTTAGGAACACTAAACAGCACTTAAGCACTACATTTGGGGGCTATTTTAAATGGCAAACTTTTGTCCTATTTTAAAAGGACAAAATGGGAAAAACATAGAATTAATGGACCACAAAAAAGATACTGCTTACAGTATGAGAGCTGACTCAAGAAGGCAGAGTGTCGCCTTGTTTGATCTCAGCTGGGAACCTGTGCATTAAGTGATTTGAATTTTTCACTGCTCACTCAGTACATGTCTGCAAATGACCACAAATCACCACAACTATTGATTTTGGGCTTACAAATACATTTTAGTGAGTGAGTGCATTTACAAATACAAAATCTGCAAATAATGAGGATCACCTGTATTTAGATCACCATTAACCTTGTAATAAATTACCTTTTACTAGTGAAGAAGCAGGAGTAGAGAAGTTAAGGTAACTTGTTCAATAATATACAGATAATAAAAGACAGAAATAGGGCTACAAATGGGATTTAATTCCTGGTCCAGCATCCCTATATATATTTTTTTTTTTTCATTTAAAAATTATATAGGTTTCAGGAATACAATTCTAAAATACTTCATCTGTAGGTTGTATTATGTGTTTACCACCCTGTATTTTTTTTAATGATCTACCCCTGAGGTTTCTGATTACCTCAAAGGACCTTTATTTTTAAACCCAGTGGGCAGCCTACATCAATGAAAAAAGATTGATACATTTTTTTAAAATAAATTGAAGAGATCCATATTTATTGGTACTTTCTAAAACAGGAATAGGTTCTGTATTATGGTTGTTTCAAAGCTATGTTGAAAACCTCACCTGGGTTTCTTTAGAAAGTGCCATGATTGATTGGTTATGTCTGCTGAGGCACAGGGATGGTGCTGATAGTTAATGTTATTGATATCCTAAGCACAATGGCTAACATGTATTGAATGCTCAGCCTATGCTGGGCCCTGTGCAAAGTGCTTTATTCTCATCAAGTTTAATCTTCTCACAAACCCCCTGAGTTAGTTACTCTTAGCCTTACTTTAGAATCGAGGAAACTGAAGCTTGGAGAATAAAATGACAAACCCCACCAAATTCCCCTGGCCCAGAAGAGATGGAATTGGGTGGGTGTCTGGGATTTCCTTATTCCACATGTATGTTCTTAACCAGGGGTCTTTAAACTATAGCTATGAGCTATATCTGGACTGCCACCTGCTTTTGTAAATGAAGTTTTATTGGAACATAGCTGCCTTAATCTACTTGGACTAATATACCAAACTAGAGGCCCAGTGCATGAACCTCGTGCACTGGTAGGGTTCCTATTGGCTACCGGCTGCCAGCTAAGTACTCCCTGCCTCCCCTGGCCAGCCCCACCTCCTGGTCAAACTCCCAGACAACTCCTGGTCAAGGGGACAATTTGCATATTATGCTTTTATTATATAGGATACCACAGACAGGGTGGCTAAACAAGAGACATTTATTTCCCATAGTTCTGGAGGCAGGAGAATCCATGATCAAGATACCAGCTGATTTCTGTTCCTGATGAGAGCCCTCTTCCTGATTTGTAGATAGTCAAATTCTCATTGTGTCCTCATATGACAGAGAGAGCTCACTAGCTCTGTGGTGTTTCTAATCCCATCCTGAGGACCCCACCCTTAATGACCTTGTCTGAACCTAATCACACCCAAAGGCCCCACCTCTGAATACCATCACATTAGGATTAACACTTCAACTTAGGAACTGTGGAGAATGCAAGCCTTCAGTCCATAGCAACAGCAATGCCTGTTCATTTATGTATTATCTGTGGCTGCTTTGCTGCTACTCTGGCTGAGTTGAGTAGGTGGAATGGAGATAGTATGACCTGCAAAGCCTAAATATTTAGTATATGGTCCTTTACAGAAAAAAAATTTGCTAACCCCCTCTCCCAACTATTATCCTGTAGTTCTGGACACTTTAATTAAAAATATGGTCTGTTATCCTAAAAATAGTTTGTTTCTGGAAATCTGTGCATGTGTATGATTTCTGTTGGAAACATCGATGTCCTGCTTTAACTTTGAGTTGAAAATTCAAGAGTAGTGTTCCTGTCTTGTGGTTTATGACATATGGTTAGCTCTTTTTTAGAATGAAAGTTCTCAAAAATTAGTTAGGTACTCCTTTTTATGACAGAAATACTGAATGAAATTTTAATTTCCTCTTGGTGGTTATCCTTGCAAAGTCTGTTTGACTGGCTTTTCCCAGTATGTGTGAGGTAACTTCTGTCTTGGAAATGGAAGGCCAGATGGGTTAAGGTTGGTTTTGGCTGGATTGGAGCCAGCCTCAGACACATCCGCATTCTGCCCTGAGCATATAAAGGTACCTTCTTTGAGGTTGGAGGGGTGATGGGTGGCAAAGGTATTTCTGGGTTTCAGTTAGCTCAGAGTTTCCTCTCCCCATTGGAGGAAGCCTTCCCTCTGCTTAGTTTACCAAATGATAAAGACCCTCTGCATTCTTTTCCTGCAGCATCTGGTCTGCCACACACTTTCCCAAGGCCAGGACTGGGGAAGGAGCATTAGGTTCAGTCTTGTTTAAGCTAATGAATGATCTCCACATTTCTCCAGGCTCATATCAGTAACAAAATGTTTTAAAGACTATCCTCCTAGTATAGTCATATTTCTTCAATGGTAAGATTATACATATGCCCTACTGCTATTAAATTATATATATTATAAGACATATAAAAATAGAACTTATAAAAAGATAAAACAAAAAAATAATAGAAATAAAGTTCTAATTTTTCTACATCCCAGTGAAGGCTGTAGGAAACCACTGGTCTAAGCTGTCTTGTTCATACCACAAACATTGTTTTCTAACTCTTATTTCTAGAAAACTTTGGGTTTTTTTGTTTTTGTTTTTTTTTTAATATATTTTATTGATTTTTATACAGAGAGGAAGGGAGAGAGATAGAGAGTTAGAAACATCGATGAGAGAGAGTCATCGATCAGCTGCCTCTTGCACACCCCCTACTGGGGATGTGCCCGCAACCAAGGTACATGCCCTTGACCGGAATCGAACCCGGGGCCCTTCAGTCCCCAAGCCGACGCTCTATCCATTGAGCCAAACCGGTCCCGGCAAACTTTGGGTTTTTAAATGCAAATTTATAACTATATAAATTGTATGACTACGTTCTTTGTTAAATATTTTTAGAACTTTACCGATAAAGCCAGAATCCCTTGGTCCACTAGCCCCAAACCCAGTTGCCTGTTTAGGTGTATAATATTCTTCCTCCTCCTCCTCCTCCTCCTCCTTTTTTTTTTTTTTTACATAAATGGTATTATTTGTACAAGTTTTCCTACAATTTTTTTTATATTTAGCAGTGTCTTTTTTAGATCTAGTTATATTGCTATAGGCAAATATAAGACAATCCTTTTTACTGGTATGTGGTATATTAATGCTACTATTTTATTTATCTCTATAGAGGACATTAACTTGGGGTTACAATGAATACCCCTGTGCGTGTAAGCCTCCTTGGATACACGTATCAGTGAGCCAGCTGCCCACAGGCCTCCCTCCTCTGTCTCTCTCTTCCCATCACCTTACTGCATCAAAGAACAGGGCAGGAACTTCTCTCCATCTCTATCACCCCCAAAGTCAAAGCCATCAGCAACTGAGGTGTTCTCCTCACTGGTCCTCTGCTTCCACTCATGTTACCCTTCAGCTTATTCTCCACACAGAAACCAGGGGGAACCTTTAGAAATGTATAACATTGTGTTACTCTCTTGCTTAAACTTGCCAGTAGAAGCTTCTACCTCACTCACTGTGCAAAGCACTTTCCCCCAGGGAGTTTGCCAAACATACTCAGGCCACTGGACATCAGATGTTCCCAGGCTCGCTCCTGTGCATTTATAAAAAACGTAATTTTTTATTTTTCAAAAATGAGACAATGCTGTGCATTATTGCTGTAACTTGCTTTTTTTAAGATGACTGCAAATCACACCGAGTCCTGTGTGTCCCAGTCCAGACTTTTGGCTTTGGTCTGTCCCACTATCCCCTGGGAGAATATAAACCCTAGGAGAAAAAAGACTGCCTTACTTGTACCTCCAGTACCAGAAGAGTATCTGGCACAAAGAAGGGTGAGAAGGCAGTAATAGAGAGACCCACAGAATGCAGGAACTCTGCTTCCTTCTGATCCTGTCTCTGCACAGATGGGGGAGTAAAATCATACTTAAAACCCATTTCAATTTGAAGGGTCATGTGCCTTTTAAGGAGTTTGTGGTGGGAAGAATAATTCCACATTTTTTTGTATCTGAATTAAGCATCCAGTACCATCTTTGCTTTGCAGCATTAATGTTGGGTTCTATGGGGCCTACTTTTTTTTTTTTTAATGTTACTGTCCATAGTATTTGTTATTTATTTATTTATCAAGAGAAACTATTCTTTAACCCCAGTATTCATGTTTAGGAACACAGGTCAGTGACAGACTTCCATAGAACTCAACCCAAAGAAATACTTTACCTTCCAAAATCAGCTTGCACTCTGAAAGATACCAGCATTTCTCTTCTCCTCAAAATGTTTTATGGAATCATAATTTCTGTAGAAATCCACATATGCCTTCTTTCTTGGTTCAGCCACAATAAACTTAAGATAAAACTGAAATCCCAAGGGTTACAAGTGAATGCTCCAACAATATGAAATCACAGATGATTGTCCAGAAGGCCACACATCTGAAGTTTCGTCAAAGCACTGGAAGGCATGGTGATTATATTCTTCTCAACACCATCATCCTTCCTGATTGGGCCTACTTTTCAACATTCACATTTTAGTTCATAGCTCATCCCCCTCTTCCCAGTGCTCAAGTCGGACTTGAGTCTATTAGGAGTAAGGAGTAAGCAGTGTCCAAACCCAGAGTTCATTTAGCAGGTAGCCAGCTTTGCCCTCTCGGGAAGCCTGCACATACAGCAGCTGTGAAGGGATGAGGTAAAGGGCATTGTGATTTGTTCTTCAAAAACACACTTCAGTCCCCTCCCCCTTCTCCTACCCAACCCCAATCTGGAGATCTGATCAACAGCCTGCTCATTCAGTCACCAATCCAACAGTATCATATTTCTACCCTCAGCCACTCTCTCTTAATCTGTTTTTCTTCTACTGTGGAATGCATGCGGGGGGGGGGGGGGGGGGGGGGGGGGGGGGGCGGCATTCGGAAACAGTGTCAGGCCTTTGCAGGGTGGTGGGTCTTCCTGGGTAGTGGTAGCTGCACTGTACATAACCTCAGATGCTTGTCACTTTGTGCAGGTAGAGGCAAAAATGTGACAAGCCAAAAAACAAAAAGGATAAGGAACAGAATAGCATTTTTAAGATTCTTTACTAAGGCCCTAGAAGTAGATGATGCTTTAGAATTCATGAATCCCAGATTACTTGTGGTTCCTTTCCACCTTCAGAATAGCCTGAATAGCTTAGAGAAAAACACTGATTCCTGGGCTCCAACCCAGAAGTTGTGGTTCCGTAGGTGTAGGTTGAGGTCCAGGAAGCTGTATTTTTAATGAGCTCTCTCAGGTGATTCTGACTCTCAGCCAGGCTTGGAAGTCATCTGCCCCCAGACCTTTGAGTTCCCTTCCAGCTCTGATTCTCCGTGGTTGAATCCAGGTCATCGGTGAGGTGACAGGCAGGCTGCCTCTGAAAGGTGGCCCCTGTCCAAGCTGATCTGTCATCTGATTATGAGATTGTGGGCCAAGCAGCCACTTATCTCTTCAGCCACAAGGGTAACATGCACTGTTTGATATCATAGATGTGAAATTTAGTGTTTTTTGCTTTAAATTTTAGAATAAAAAGTATACTGATGTGATTCAACATTCAGAAAGAATGAAAGAGTATACTGTAAAGCAGAGGTCACCAACTGGTGGTCCGCAGACTACTTGGTCCATGATACCTAAAAGGTTGGCAACTGCTACTATAAAGTGTCTTAGTACCATCCCTGCCCTCAGCTGCTTAGTTCCTTCTCAAGCAATTTATGTTATCATTAGTTTTTATGTATTTTTTCATTTAAAGAAAAATATATATGTGGTTTTTTAACAGCTTGAGACATAATTCACATGTATATGATTTAGCCTTTAAAATGTACAATTTAGTGATTTTTATATAGTGACGGAGTTGTGCAACCATCAGCAATCTACTTTGAGACTATCTCTGTCACCTCAGAAAGAAACCCTGTGCTGCTCAGCAGTCACTCCCCATTTCTCTAATCCCCTCAACTCCAGCAGCCACAGACTACTTCCAACTCTATTATGTATAGTTTTAATCCCTCAATTTTTTGCATGAGTGGTTGTGTACTGTGGACTGTTCTACAACTTGCCTCTTCCGTCAGGTACTGTTTCGCCATCTTGGAGCTCTTCTGCCCTGAGGGAGGAACAGAACCAAAGCTGCACTCTCAGGGTGGCTGTGCCCATCGTGCGCCCGGGGTGCAGAGGGATCTGTGGGAACTGGAAGTTAAGGCCATGCTTGTTATTTGCTACAGGGCGTGGCCTCAATCCCTGCCAGCAGAAACATCTCATCTCTGTTCTCTCTGTGCTTAGAAACTCATCGCATATGGGCACATCACCGGCAACGCCCCAGACAGTGGAGCTCCAGGGAAGCGGCTGATTGACAGGATCGTTGAAACCATTTGCAATTGTTTTCAGGGCCCTCAGACCGATGAAGGAGTCCAGTTACAAATAATTAAGGTATTTCTGTGAGTTTGCCTGGTCTGGATTTTAAATTTGAAACCAGTCTCCTGTGGTAATTTGGATTTCTGATTTACCATGTGTTAGTTGTCTCAGGTGGTGCTGAGCTGGAACAGAAAAATGTAAGCATCACTTAGATCTTTTATAAAGTGTCAGAATTTATTAGCGTGGAATAAGACAAGAAGAGTGGAACCAGGTGTGTTTTCAGAGTAAACAGTTCCACTAATAACAATGTAAATTGCTTGTGAATTAAATTGGCTTGAAGTCCTTTGGTCCTGCCCCTTGAATTTCTGGATTCCCAATCTGCCATTTCTTAGCAGGTTCCTGTTGATACTCTTATCACCAGTTTGCCCCTGTTCCCCTCTCCCCCCACTCCATTTCCCTGTTCTTTTTATCCTGCCAGGAATGGTTTGGCATGGAACAAAGAGCAGGATCAAGATGAGTGTAGCCAACATACTGTATCTTAAATCCTGGATGCAGAATGAGTGGTGGCTCCATGTTAGCCACACCTTTCCTAATGCTCCCTTGAAACTGACCCCCCCTCCCATCAAAACATGTATATTTTGGTGTTAATCTAGGTGAGATCAAGTTGGAGCATTTTTCTTCTTAAGAGAAGTGTCTCTTTTTTTTGTTTGTTTTGTGTATCTTTTTAAAAAGTAAGCTGGTAGAAAGCCCACTTTACAACTTACTTTAAATGATTTGGACTTTATGGATTTAATAATTGTTTTTAAACTCAACGCAATAATGAGTCATCTCTTAGTACTAAGCATCCAGTTTAGTTTGCAGAGCCGTTCTTTTAAAATTATGTCAAACCAAACAAAAACAAAGCCAAACCATGTGGAAAAGTTTGGCTGTGGAAGACTGGGCACAAGCGGGGGTATTTGTGAAGGCGAAGGTTTCGGATTTTTGTTTTAGGCTCTTCTGACTGCAGTAACGTCCCCGCACATTGAAATTCACGAGGGCACTATCCTACAGACGGTTAGGACATGTTACAATATCTATTTGGCCAGCAAAAATCTCATCAATCAAACCACTGCCAAGGCTACCCTTACTCAGATGCTGAATGTCATTTTCACCCGCATGGAAAACCAAGTGGTGAGTGAGCAGTCATCCGCTGCTGGGGGTGGGACAGCAGCCCATGCTGTGAACTGTTTTGTACGTGGCCTCAGTGCCTGGTGAAGATTCACTAGCATTTTAAAGTATATTCCTTCTTCCTCTGAATTCTCTGCACTTTGTTTTCATTCTTACTATAAAAAGCAAGAGATAGAATCTAGCAGGTATTTTGAAATTTGCATTCAGAATTTGCTTTGAGTTTGTCAAAGGGATTTCTTTACTTGTTAAAATGTTATCCTTCTCTTTGGAAGTTTTTTAAGCAACAGGCTGGTGTATTTTCTGTTCCTTATCAAAATTCTGGGACCATTTGGATTGAATCCCTTTTTTGTTGCCTTCTAGTTTCAGGAGATCAGAGAATTGGAAAAACCAATCCAGTCAAAACCCCAGTCCCCTGTGATCCACGCTGCAGCAGGGTCCCCAAAGTTCAGTCATTTGAAGCAGAGTGAGGCAGAGAGCACACCAACAACTCCTGAAAAGACAGATTTAACCAATGGTGCACATGACAGGAGTGGTTCTGGAAAAGTGAGCTCAGAGAATGGAGACGCACCCAGAGAAAGAAGCTCATCGTTATCAGGTATGCCCATGTGCTGTGAGAGGGACAGGAGTCTGGTAACATCAGCAGGAAACCTCATCTGTTTCTGGGCCTTCCCCTTGACTTTCTGTTTGCTTTCCTCTCGTGGAACACAACCATCAAGGCATGATGGCTGATGCCCATTGTCACCTGTGTAGTGTTCTCTCAGTAATTCCTGAAATGTATCTATCAATAGCTACTGCTGGGTTTTGTCTTTTTTGGGGTGGTTTTATTTTGTTTTTTGTGTGTCTTTTTTTTTTCTTTTTTTAATCCTCACCCAAGGATATGTTTTCATTGATCTGAGAGAGAGAGAGAGAGAGAGAGAGAGAGAGAGAGAGAGAGAGAGAGAGAGAGAGAGAAACATCAATATGAGAGAGAGACATCAGTCACCGGTTTTCCGTATGCACCCCAACCGGGAATCAAATCCACAGTCCTTCAGTACACGGGATAATACTCCAGCTGCACTACACTACACTGGCCAGGGCTGGCTACTGCTTCTTGACGTCAGCTTCAAGGCAGTGGGTTCAGTTTGGGGCACTTATCACCCAGTAGTTAATTATTTGGGTGGTTAGTTGTTCGATGTCTGTGTTATCTTCCCAGAGGATGACAAAGACACACGTACACACAGGATCTCCACGCCTTCCCACTGTCCTGCAAGTCCTCGATACCCAAAAACATCTGTGAGAGGAGCAAAATATGGGCAGTTTGCTAGAGATGTAGCTGGACAGACAGACAGCTTTGTTTTCTTATTCTATGACTGAGAACATTAACTGTTTTGTTTGCTTTTTTAAATGAAAGAGATATTCCCCACCTGTTTATAGTTTTAAAGCAAATAATGTATTAGGCATGGAATCTTTTTTTTTTTTTTTTTTTTTTAATATATTTTACTGATGTTTTACAGAGAGGAAGGGAGAGAGAGATAGAGAGCTAGAAACATCGATTAGAGAGAAACATCGACCAGCTGCCTCTTGCACACCCCCTACTGGGGATGTGCCCGCAACCAATGTACATGCCCTTGACCGGAATCGAACCTGGGGCCCTTCAGTCCGCAGACTGACGCTCTACCACTGAGCCAAACCGGCTTCGGCAGGCATGGAATATTGGATTGGGTTGTCATAAGATTATTTTCCTTGGACAGTTGATATGAACCAATCCAAAATTTATTTATTTTTTCCAGGAATGTACCTTCCCAAGTGATTCTGTCAAATAATTCATTACTAGCTGGTTGTTGTACATGAAATATCTGACCTGTCTTTACAATTGCTCTCATGTTTTCTTCTGACACATTGGTGACAATTTCTGTCAATAGTGTGTTCCCTACTAGAGAGTACAGATTGGAGCAGCTTTTGATCCTCTAAGTCAGTGTTTCCCAAACTTTTGACATATGTGTACCCCTTCTATAATTTTCATAACGCTGAGTACCTCTTGTACTCATGAGAACGTAGAATTAGGCACAGCTAAGCACGGTGCAGTGCATATCCCCACCAAACTCCAATGCAACACATACCCCCACCAAACTCTTCCCGTACCCCTGGGGATACGCGTACCACACTTTGGGAAACACTGCTAAGGCACCAGAGGGCTTGGCATACGTAGGAACAGGCCAGGTGTCATTGCTGGAATGTGTGCTGTATCAGTTCACGCAAGAGAAGAACAAAAAAGAAAGTGGCCACTAGGAATTGCATGTATCTCAGGGTGAGCACAGAAGTGCTGTCTATTCATTCCTGCTGTCGTGTGTCTTAGGGAAGATGCTCAGAAACTCCTGGCCCACACTCTGTATATGTCATAATCATTGCCTTCTCAACTCTCAGGGCAAGGACCGGGTTTTTACTGTAACCTTTGTCTGGCTGTAATCAATCAACAAATGTTAATTTTAAAACCCTGTAATAAGCATAGCTGTGTCTCTCTGAGCTGCATCAAAGTGCTTCCACTACAGCCCATTTTTACATGGCAGCCAAAGTGAACTCTTAAAAGCATGCATTGGATCACAAGCCTCCTCTGCTTACACCCCATTGGTAATTTCCCATGCTGTCCCATTCAGAGCGAAATCTATGTCCACCCTGTCCCTGTGGCTTCCAAGGCCCTGATTGACCTGGCCCTTGCCCACCTTTCTGTCCCCTTCAAATAGTATTCCTGTACATTACATGTACAAATAGTATTCCTGATTCTTGGAAGTGCCACACGTGATCTTGGTGCCTTTGTATTTCCTATCCCTTCTTTGCCCTACCTTTATCTTCAAGTCTCTCATTTCAAACAGATCACCCTCTGAAGTTCCCTGTCATGTCTGTCCCCTAGCCTCTCGTCTTCATAGCACTTATCACTACTTGAAGTTAACTGAGTTAATGTTTATTTGTGCCCAGTCTGAGACCTAGGCCGCCGTTTTTATAACTATTTCCAGCACCTGGAATGGTGCCTAACACATATGGCAGACTCTTAGTAAATACAGTATTTTGAACAAATTGGGGGGGGGGGGGGGGGGCTTGATTTCCAGAATATAGTTTTGCAGAAACACAGTAACTTAAAATACTGTGAGAATGATTTGCAGGTAGTATGTTGCTGTGGATTTCATTGCCAATAGTTGGTGTACCCCATGAGGCTTCTCCCAAAAGTGTGGGAATCAGATTGCCTGTGAGAAACAAACCGAAAATTTGCAAATAGTAGGTCAAAATGGAGGTGTGCCTCACCCTTAAAAAGAGCAAAAGGCTTCAGTTCTCAGGATGAGGCTCTAAAGAAAGAATGGGCCCTTCAGAAGAAAGGATTGAGAAGCCTTGGAAGCAAGGAGGATGGACAACCTGAGAGGCAGATGGCGGAGACAGTGCCTTGGGCTGAAGTGATAGAGACCACTCATCCACCCCTTCATCACATAGCCACCCCTAGCTTTGCCAGGCACTGTGCTCCTTTCATGAACACTCCACATACATTTTCCTGCTTACCTGGGAATCCTCCCCATGGCCTGCCTGGAATAATTTGCCTCCCAAGAAATTTGTGTAGATGGGGATAATTCACCCAAAGACCTGAGCATCTGTTTTCTTTTTCTAATTGTCAATCTTATCTGCCTATCTTAAGAAGTGGATCAGATGGCTCTTTGTAAACTCACAAAATTAGGTATTTTTTCTTTTTAGGTTAAGAATTCTTTGCCATGACTAACCTCCTTCCCCTGGAACCTCACCCCATTTGTCCATTCACACCTCTCCTGATTGGCAAGCCATTCTTGTCAGTTTCTAAAGAACAACCTGTTGAGATATAGCATATACTGTAAGTTTGCCCCTTTAAAATCATTGAATTCTTGTTAGTATGTTCACAGAGTTGTGCAACAATCACCACAATTAATTTTGGAACATTTCATCACACCCTTAGCAATCACTTCCCCTTTTTTTTTAAGTTCATTTTTTAAATTCTGACATTTTAACTCCCAACATTACACATTAGCATTTATATAGTTAATATGTAGCTATTGTAGGTACACAATTACTATGTGTGTACTGATTGGTTAGTTTGCTTTTAAATAACCCATTTTTAAGTACTATACACAATGGAGAAACTTTATTCTCCTCAGCCAATGTGGAGGTTCTGATCAGACAGCCTAATTAAGTTCAGATCATGATTCTATCACTTAGTTCTTTGACCTTGGGCAAAATCTTTAACCTTTCTGAGCCTCATCTGTAAAATGAGAATACAACTAGTACCTATCTTATAGGCTTGGGAGAATTAAGAGCAATATCTGCCAATTAGGGCTATGTAAGTGTTTACTATTACTATTTTTCAAATAAGTTTCAGCTTTAACAGTGACTTAGTTTTTAAAAAATATATAGCAGATATTTCAGCTGGTAATCTGACGTGAAGGTGGTGGGAACAGTGTCATGGATAAAGAGAGCCTGTTTTCCATGTTAAATAAATACTTGTGGTAGGTTAAGTGTTCAATGGAAATGAAAACACTTTGGGCTGTACTCCAGGACACTGGGGACCAAGCATGGAACTTACAAAAATAGTGGCTTGATTGAAAATTCTTCTTGAGGAAGAATTTAAAGGGTTATTTTGGTTTTGTTTATTCAATGTGATGGCCTTTTTGGTCATTGTGGTGTTTTATAATGTTTACTTCTAGAAGGGCTATTCAGTAGTTCTTACAGATCTAGTTTTCTACAAAAACAAATGGTGCCGAACCTCTTCCATTTAAACTGTTAACACATTACAGAATAATTCCATTTAAATTTTAGTAAATCTGCCAAAACCGGTTTAGCTCAGTGGTAGAGCGTCGGTCTGAAAGGTCCCAGGTTCGATTCCGGTCAGGGGCATGTACATTGGTTGGGGGCACATCCCCGGGAGGGGATGTGCAAGAGGCAGCTGGTCGATGTTTCTCTCTCATCGACGTTTCTAGCTCTCTATCTTTCTCCCTTCCTTTCTGTAAAAAATCAATAAAAAATATATTTTTAAAAAAAGAACTAATTAAAAAAGATGTTTTAAATTTTAGTAAATCTTCAACTAGCACATTGAAAATCTCATGCTAAGTTCTACGTTTATTGTGGGAAAAACAAGGCAGCAGAAGGTAGGTAGTTCCTCATGTTCCTGAGCTGAAGACACATGAGAACCCGTCTTGTTTTGCCAGGAACCATAGATGGATAAAATCCATCTCCTCCCTCCAACTTGGGGGTGAGGAGGAGGATCCTGGGATTTAGAGCAACTGTAACTTAGGAAGGAAAAGTGTGTGTAAGTCGGAGGGGTACTAGTGTTCCATAAAGGAAAGTTGAAATCATAGTTGATGTTGCCTGAAAATTTCCAGATTTCATGGGACTTGAAATTTGCCTTCTAAATTTGATTCTAGAGAGCATGGACAAAATCTCTTCCTATTTTCCCTAGAAATGCCCACATGTATATGCTTGTGTTTGTGTGTGTGTGTATAGGGACTGGCAATGGAGCCCAGGAGGTGGTGAAGGAGATCTTAGAAGATGTGGTCACATCTGCTGTCAAAGGTAAGAACCAATAACCCAGCCTTTCCTTCTACCCCATTCCTTCAAAAAAGTCCTTAGCCATCTATATATTTAAGTGGTAGTGTGCCCCTCCTCTCCATCCCACCCCCTTACCCCCCGTGAGCCCATGGAAAATGAATCTGCCCATGTCTCCTCATCTTTCATATGGAACTCAAATTACTTGTTTTTAGCAGGTCATTTTATTCTCATTCGGGTTGGGCTCAAGAAGCACAGTCTGACAGTGTTAGGGTTGAGTGTTCCACACAGAGACACAGAGGACCACTCCTATATACATGCAGTTTTACCCGGGAGTGGGCTGTGAGCTCCGACGTGGTGTCCATTACTGCTGAATTATCATGGCTAGCCATTGACTTGCTGAGCAGACAGTCCCTATGTCAGCAGGTATCAGATGCATATGGAAGCTTGTTCTTTTGTTATATTTCATTCATAACTCCCTCAGTTTTTCAGTGTGGTTTCAGTGGAACTAAATTTGTACAGCTCAGTTCCAATGCCAATAGACCATTATGGGTTAAGAAATCAGTAATGTAGTGGATTACAGTGAGCATTCTCTAAATGAAAGAAAATAAATAGAATACAAACTGAATGCATTGCATGTGATGTGTTAAGCATTGTTTCATGAAACATGCACTTCAGTTATGTGCACATGTGTACAAGCTCATGATTTTTAAAATGTATTTCTTACTGAAGGTTATCATCAAAGAAATGTGACCTTCTGCTCTAAGCCTGTCCTTTTGTTGATTTAGGGTCCCACCAAGCTGTATATATAGATTTCATTATTTAACCCTTTTAGAAATATCTTTAAAATTAAATAATTTTATTTCACATGCTTAGATTGTTTTCTGTGGCCACTACAAGAAGTGCTCACATAATAAACATTCATCTGTCTTGTTCTCTGCTATATCCCTCAGTCCCTAGCACAGAAATTGGTAAATAATGGGCACTTGATAACATTTGTCGAATGAATATATGCTTTGTAAAACCATTATGGAAGATTGTGCTTATTAAGTTGTTTGTTGTCCCATCTATATGTAAAGATCTACATGGTAAATTCTCATGGAGTTCTGTTCTGCTAATCATCAAGTATAGCTTTCTTTCATTAAATGATAAAATCTATTAATACTTTCTCTTTCCATTGTTCACTTGGCTGCCAGGAAGCTCACATCTTCATTTTCTTTCTTTTCTTTGTAACTGAGGTTTTATTTCATAACTTATCAAACTCTTTAATTTATGTGGCTCTTTTTCTCTAACCCCTGCATTAATAGACCTTTTAAAAATAATTTACACTTTTCATGGTTAGCTTTTTCTAATCTTCTTGAGAAGGGGAAGGATAGGGCAGGTTTGCTGTATCACATTTCTGGATGTACCATTGACATGGACTGCAGTATTAACCAAGATCCTGGTGTTGGGACTGTGGATAACAGACACATGGAAAACCTACGCATCACTCTGGGCAAGCCTTTTTCAATGCCTATTATGTCAGTCATGGAGTAGTGATGCAGGGAAAGGGAAAAAGCAGTACCTAGAAGGTTACATGAATCACTTCTTCCTGATGGCAGGCTACCTTTCAGGATAAGTACTAACTTGGTAAAGATATTTGCACTTGTGTTTGAAGAAGCAGCACAAAAATACAGTCTGACAGAATCCGAGAGGGCTGTTGGTGAACTGGAGGGACAGGAATGTGCTGTCCCATCAGCAGTGGACGAAAACTCACAGACCAATGGAATACCAGATGACAGGCAGTCCTTGTCGTCAGCGGATAACCTGGTATGTTGATGATTCTCTCATATGGATTCATTTCAATTTTTACCTTTTTAGAAGATGCAGAATTAAATCTCTGCCAGAAGAAGTGAGTGAAAACCAGTGAGCCCTATTCTGTTACTGGTCAGAGTCCTGGCCTGATATTCTTGGTTAGTAGGTCCATTTTGGAACATGCTAATTGATGTTGATTGTATTCAACATTGTTATTAAACCTTGTTTATTCAGAATTTTAACACGTATATTTCTTGCCCTTTTTAATTCTCTCTCAAAGTAATATGCATTTATTATAGGAAAATAAAATGTAGAGAATGAAAAAACAGAGAAATATAAGTCATCCATAACACCATAACTCAAAGATAACCTTTGCTAACATTTTCTTTATAGCTTTCTAAATTTTCCTACCCTTCACATATTTTGTCACTTAAATGGAATAACAATATACATGCTGTTTTATAACCTATTTTGTAAACTTAATATATATTATGAACATTTTTTAAATTTCTTTATTGATTAAGGTGTTATATATGTGTCCTTATTCCCCCATTACCCACCCTATTGCCCCCCTACTCATGCCCTCACCCCCCTGTTGTCTGTGTCCATTGGTTAGGCTTATATGCATGCATACAAGTCCTTTGGTGATCTCTCCCCCTTCCTCCCCGCCTCCCCTACCTTTTAAGGTTTGATGGTCTGATCGATGTTTCTCTGTCTCTGGATCTGTTTTTGTTCATCAGTTTATGTTGTTCATTATATTCCATATATGAGTGAGATCATGTGATATTTATCTTTCTCTTACTGGCTTATTTCATTTAGCCTAATGCTCTCCAGTGTTCATAGCAGCATAATTTACAATAGCTAATATTTGGAAATTGCCTAAGTGCCCATCAGCAGATGAGTGGATTAAAAAACTGTGGTACATCTACACAATGAAATACTATGCTGCAGTAAAAAAAAAAAAAGGAGTTCTTACCATTTGCAACAGCATGGATGGAACTGGAGAGCATTATGAACATTTTTTTCAGGCCGATACATTCAGTACAATTTTTTTTTAATAGTTTTATTGTTTATTTGAAAATGTTATATGTGGAACCTTGGTTCTCAAACTTAATTTGTGCTAGCAGGCTGTTAGAGAAGCGACTTATTTGAAAACCGAATCATTTTTTCCCATTAGAAATAATGTAAATTGAATTAATCTGTTCCAAACCCACAAATAATTCCCTGTTTTAACCTTTCTTATATGTAATACATGTCTAATATACTTTTTAATCTATAAGTACTTCTTTTCTTGCATTTATTAAACTACCCCCTATTATCCTTAAATGAATCACTTCCAGCACTTGTCCCAGGGCTGTCTTTTAGGAAGTCAGCATGGGCATCTTCCCTTTTTCACATATCACTGTCTGTAATGCTGTCACTGGCTAACCACTTTTTACTTATTAAAACCAGCAACAGTTTGTCTACCTCTTCAATAGCCTGTGATCATTGTTTTTGCACACCCTTAGCAACATTAGCACTCTTTAATAGCCTCTTTATGTTGTAAAATTATGCTATTCATCAATTTGCCAGCAATAAAAACATTCTCTCCTTTGTTGCCTGAGAGACTCTTTTTGTCATGCTAAGGTGTTAGCATGAAAGGGTTGTCAGGTCAAAAGCCTAAGTTTGATCTGACAACCTAGACATTTTTTCTCTAAACCATTTGATCGAGAACTGAAATGGGAGATGTTTGAGATCCGAGGTTTGACTATATATAAACATTCAAAACAGGAAGTAATATAACATTTAACATCCCACTTAAACATACTCCCTGTACCTTTTCACTAGTGTTTCTCAAACTTTTTTCATTATTACCTCTTTAAGGAGCCTTTTAAGTCCATATGAGGGTCTCATGTCTTATATACTGTGCTCAATTGTTTTGTTCACTCAGCACTATCTCATGGACATCTTTCCACATCAGTACATATAGATCTAACTAATGTTTTAATGGACATGTAAAATGCAATCATATGGATTACTGTAATCTATTTAGCCAATTCCCTATTAGGCCTTTAGGTTATTTCAGTTTTATCACAGAAACAATAGTTCTATAATGAACATCATTATAGATAAAGCTTGTGCACATCCTATTCTTTCTTTGTGATAAATCCCTGCAGTTGTATTGCTGGGTCAAGAGTTGGAAATTCTAAGGCTTTTGATCCCGGGAGTGGGCTTAACATCAAATTAGCCTGCTGGGAAGGTAATACTGGAATCTGTGCCCACTGTAAGCTGTCATTTCCTCATTGAAATGGGGAGAAAGATGCTGCCTTAATGATTGGTAATAAGGTTATTTAGATTTGCATTTGCATTTCTTGGTAAATTGCTTATTGATGTTTTTTACCAGTTTTTTATTTGAGATAAAGGTTTTCATATTTTTTAATGAATTATAAGAACTTACTATATATTGAGAATATTAATTCTTGTCATAGGTTTCAAATACTTTTATTTTTAAATGTAGTTTACTTATTTAAAGAAGTATTTTTAAAAAAGCACGTCGTATTTCTTATTTACTTTGCAATAGTATTCTTAGAAATACCTTCTTACCCAAGCTAATATAAATCATTACCTATATTTGTTGTAGTTTTTTATGTTTAATGTTTAAAAATTATTTTAAACCACTTTTTGAAGGACAAGGAACACGGTTTTAGAATTGCCTTAATAACTCCCCATAGCTCCTATTTTGCCATTTCTCCTCCCTCCACTTCTCACTTCCCCATTGAATAAATAAAATAATTTGCATTTTCATGAGATACTTATTTCTTGTTTTTTAAAATAATTATCATTTTGTTTTGACCTTTATTTCTTTCTATTTAGGAATCAGACGCGCAAGGACATCAAGTGGCTGCTAGGTTCTCTCACATTCTGCAGAAGGATGCCTTCCTTGTGTTTCGCTCCCTTTGCAAGCTGTCCATGAAGCCCCTTGGTGAAGGCCCCCCAGATCCAAAGTAAGCAGACAGTAGTTCTTGGCTGTCTGTAACCCAGGTGATCCAGGAGGATCTCAGGGGCTCCAGGAAACCCGGTGCCTTGGCCCCTGGCAGGAATTTATTCATGATAGTTTCATAGCTTTTTAAATTCATGTGGTGCCTATAATCAGTTCTTTCATAATGAATTGTCTCTGTGTCCCCTTCAACCAAGATTCTGCCCAGTTTTGCTTTTTTGGTTTATATACTAAAAATAATTACCTTGGCCCTAACCATTTGGTTCAGTGGATAGAGCCTCGACCTGTGGACTGAAAGGTCCCAGATTCAATTCTGGTCAAGGGCATGTACCTTGGTTGCAGGCACATGCCCAGTAGGGAGTTGTGCAGGAGGCAGCTGATCAATGTTTCTCTCTCATTGATGTTTCTAACTCTCTGTCCCCTCTCCCTTTTTCTCTATAAAAATAAAAATATATTTTTAAAAAATAATAATAATAATTACTTTGAATATGCCTGCACCCTCTTTTTACTGACTAAACAATTTAATATACTAATGAGGGCAGGAGCAGGAAGTGAGCAAATTTCAGTTTCCTGTCCTGGTTGAAAACCTTTGTTGCATGGGTACAGACCCAGATTCAAACCAGAGAAACCAGCCTTTCTTTGTAGTGACTGAACTACCACAAGGATGACAGTACTGTGGTGTCCAAGCAGAGGCTTTGGAGCCAGAGAGAACTGCATTCAGTCCTGGCCCTTACACCTAAGACCAGCTCCACGGCTTATAGGAGTTTCTGGAAAATGGGAATATGGAAAATCACTTTACAAGACCCATTTAATAAAACAATATAAAGCACAAGGCCTTGCACTTTATAAGAGTTTTATAGATACTATTATTATCATCATCATTATTAAACATTAATAAGAACCCTCAACTCTTCTGTTGAGAATATAACCATTATGAAAATTTCTCATTTCTTACTATTCCTGTGGGCGGAGTGAGAGGGCATGAGGCAGGTGGATAAAGAGCACCATCTTCATTGTCTATGAAGGCCAGATGTTTTAGGCTCCATGAACGAGGTTGTAAAAGTAATTGTTCTATCAGGTGAGTTGCAGAACCAGCTTTCCAGGGGCAGGTGTCACTTCTGCTTTATGGTGGGGGTGCGGTGAAAAGAATAGAAGCTGTCAGTTCTTGTTCTCACAAGATCTGCAGGTCCCAAAAGGACCCATCTCCTGTCTGCCCTTGTTCTCTTGACATTTAGGTACTGTTGCTAGTTCTTAAATCATTGGCATCTCAGGAAATTCTCACTGGTGGAGGAGTGAGGACTTCTCAAGAAACATGATTTTTAAGTTTTATCTTTTAACCCCATCATTGTTCTTTGTTTTCTTTGCTAGATCCCACGAGCTGCGCTCCAAGGTGGTTTCCCTGCAGCTGCTCCTCTCGGTGTTGCAGAACGCCGGCCCAGTCTTCAGGACTCACGAGATGTTCATCAATGCAATCAAGCAATATCTCTGCGTGGCATTGTCCAAAAACGGCGTCTCTTCAGTGCCTGACGTCTTTGAGCTCTCTCTGGCCATTTTTCTTACTCTTCTTTCAAATTTTAAAATGCACTTGAAAATGCAGATAGAGGTACGGACTCCAAATTGATTTTTTTCCCCATTTTGTACCAGATGGTCAACTGCTGGTGGCAGGGTCACCAAGAACTGCAATTACACAGTCTACTGGCTGTTTTTCCCCCAAAGAACTTTTTGAATGAGTGAGGAGCGAAGAATACCTTTTCATGAAAAGTTACTGCCCAAAAAACTTGTATTCCTTTCATTTTAACCAAAGGTTTAAATCGAGTCGTCTGTGTGCTAGTTTTAGCCCCCACAAATATGTTTGTTTAGTCTAAATTATTTGAACTACCCTGAATTAGTTGCCACGTAGAGAAATCAGATTCTACATGAAAATCCATATTTCTATTGTACTTTCTCTTGAAAAATCACGATAGTGGTCCTGCATTTCCAGGTGGCAGCTCTTGGCAGTGACTCAGAAGCAGCTGCTCCCTCTGATGAGTCCGTATTCCCCAGTTCCCCGTGCCCTTGCCCTCCAGCCGTTCCCACGCAGCTAGGGTTTCATTGCGATAGTAGCAGGCGTACACCACTCCTCATCATAGGATCTGCCTGTCCTCTAAAGGTTTTGAGGTTTGAGCCCTAATTTAAACTATTAATCATTGTCCTCCTTTGTCTTCATGTCACATAGGTCTTTTTCAAAGAGATTTTCCTGAACATTTTAGAAACATCAACAAGTTCTTTTGAGCACAGGTGGATGGTCATTCAGACTCTGACAAGGATCTGTGCAGGTATTTTCTCCCTGAGGTGCTCATCCCTTTGGCTAGCCCGGAACCTCTTGATGTGTTTATTTTCCAAAGTCCAGAGGGAGATCCTTAACTCCTCCTCTTTGAGTTTTAATGGAGTGCTGGGAAAATCATTACTGTATAGGCCAGTGCTAACCTAATGACTAGACCAAACCCACCCCACCTTCTTTAGAGGATGAGCAACTCAGCCTGGCTGCCCGGGAAATTGGGGTTTTGGCACTGAAAGTTCCACATCCTGAGAAACCCTCAAATCCTAGAAAACGGGGACACTTGGTCACCCTGCTTATCAGCTGAATGTTTTTTAGTCACAGGATCCAAGGTATTGGTGCTGCCAACCCTTGACAGTGTGCGTAGGTAAATGTGGATTTACCTTATACAATGCAATTGTGTGACTGAAAAGCCAGCATCCTACTTCTCTACATCCAACATAGGAGTTACACAACTTTTAGAAATGGATCAGGCAGTTATTACTCCCGTTTTGATTAGGAAAGTGAGCTTAGAAAGTTGGAATGAACTGCCTGAGATTTCAGGTAGTGCCCAGGCCTAGAGAGAGGGCCTCCCATCTCCCTACTACTTAAGACATTCATTTCTTATGTGTGGTACTGTGGTCTGTCCACTGGAGTTAGCAGTTCACTGGGGAAAATTTTTTGACATAAGAATCTTATTTAATAAGAAAACATAACTGTTATTTGTGTTTAATCAGAATTTATAATATCTGTTTGTTATTTTCCAAGATGCCCAGTGTGTTGTAGATATTTATGTCAACTACGACTGTGATTTAAATGCTGCTAACATTTTTGAGCGCCTCGTAAATGATTTATCCAAAATTGCTCAGGGAAGAAGTGGACATGAGCTTGGAATGACACCTCTGCAGGTAAAAATACTAAGAACACTCATTTATACTTAAAGTTCATTCATTTTGATAAACATTTATCAAGTGCCACCATGTGCCATGCACCATTCTTGCTGCTGTGGATACAAAACAAATATGTATGTACCTGCACACAGTTGCTACCGTCACAACTCTTACAAGCAGACAAGGAAGAAATAAGTTGCAGAGAAGAATAAAGCAGGGATGATAGAGAAGGAATGTGGAGGTGGTGTCATTTTTTTAATGACGTCATCATAGTTTCCCTGAGGAGGTGACATTTGAACTGATATTTATAGGAAGCAAGTTCACTCTCAGTCACCTTTCCAGAGACCTTGCAGGATCTCAAGCTCCAGTAAAAGCAGAAGAGATTGCCTCTTATCGGTGTACCTATAAAGAATAGGATCTTTAACTTGGGGCCTCTAAATGAACTAGTCAGAATGTCTGAGAGCTGCCTGGAATTATGTGTAGGATTTTGGTCTATGGCATTTTTCCTAGAATGTTCATATTGTCATTAGATTTATAGAGAGATCTGTGCCACCTTAGATGCTGTTTTGATCCTTAAATATTGGTTTTTGTTTTAGATTATCTGCAGTTCACATTTAATTTTTTATTTAAATGCTATTTTTTTAAACAGTGGTTTTATTGTAGAGTGAACCTTAAAAGGGAATACATTTGTGGTCGTTTGGAAGATAAGAGTGTGTTCAGTATCACTAATTTCCTGCATAATACAAGATTTTTTTGGTCTTATTTTGAAACTAGAGGCCCAGTGCATGAAATTCATGCACAGGGTGGGGGTTTCCCTCAGCTCAGCCTGCACCCTCTCCAATCTGGGACCCTTCAAGGGATGTGGGATCAGGCCTAAACGGATAGTCTGACATCCCTCTCACAATCCAAGACTGCTGGCTCCCAACCACTCGCCTGCCTGCCTGCATGATTGCCCCTAACCGCTTCTGCCTGCCAGACTGATCACCCCCTAACCCAGTGGTTTCAACCTTTCTAAGGCTGCGACCCTTTGATACAGTTCCTCATGTTGTGGTGACCCCCAACCATAAAATTATTTTCATTGCTACTTCATAACTGTAATTTTGCTACTGTTAATGAATCATAATGTAAATATCTGTGTTTTCCCAATGGTCTTAGGCGACCCTGCTGGCGGTTCTCAACTAAGTCTCTGTGCCATGTCACTTTTGTCCTTTAGGAGCTCAGTTTGAGGAAGAAAGGCCTAGAGTGCCTCGTGTCCATTCTCAAGTGCATGGTGGAGTGGAGCAAAGACCTGTATGTGAATCCCAACCACCAGACCAGCCTCGGTGAGAAAGGGTTGCTGCCCCCACCACCTCCATTCACAGTTGGCTATTTACAGCTATTGGGAAAAGTTGTCCTGTTATAGTTGTCTTAGAATTAGCAAAAAACACTTTAGTTTTCTAAATACCTATAGTATTTTAAAGGTTCTGCTTTTTAATCTTCATCTGGAATTTGGAAGAGGGATAGTATGAGTTGTGCTCTAGCTTCGCTTTTCCAAATGGAGGACCAATTGTTGCAAAAAAAATTTTTTAATATATTTTATTGATTTTTTACGGAGAGGAAGAGAGGGATAGAGAGATAGAAACATCGATGAGAGAGAATCATTGACCAGCTGCCTCTTGCACACCCCCTTCCGGGGATGTGCCCGCAACCAATGTACATGCCCTTGACCGGAATCGAACCTGGGACCTTTCAGTCCACAGACCGACGCTCTACCACTGAGCCAAACCGATTTTGGCTGTTGCAACATTTTTATTAGTCTCCCTCACTGATTTAAAAGTCCACCTTTATGACATACCATTTTTCCTTGTGTGTATATGTCTGTTTCTGAATTTTCTATTCTGTTCTATTGATTTGTCTACTCTTGCACCAGTGCAAGTGTCTTGGCTGTTTTTTTTTCTAATTTTTTTATGTGAATTTTAGAATTAACTTATCAAACTCCACAAAAATGTAAGTTTTTAAGTAAAGGATTAGAGTAATATCACAGTTTTATACTTATGATCTTGACAGTGCAAACTTATTGTTATAGGTGTGGAAAAGAATTACAGAGCCAGACCTGAGTTCAGCGATATCTGTTTCTCTTCTGCTAATACGGTTTTCTTTTCTATTATGTCATTGCAGGTCAGGAGAAGCCCACAGATCAGGAAATGGGGGATGGGAAAGGTCTCGACATGACGAGACGGAGCAGCGTGACCTCCATGGAGTCCACAGTGTCCTCAGGGACCCAGACAACTATCCAGGATGATCCAGAGCAGTTTGAGGTCATCAAGCAACAAAAAGAAATCATTGAACATGGCATTGAGCTGTGAGTGTGACTGCTACTTTAGCTGCATCTCTTGGGGCCTCTGACAAAGCCACATCTCTGAGGATCTTAGGCTGGCTCCTCAAAGGGAAATGCCTAGTACAGAAGGCGAGTGCTGGCACTTGGTAGCTGAGCCTGATTAAGCCAGCAGAGTGAGTGAGTTTGTGTGTTAGAGAGAAATGTAATGGGTTTGTGTTGATGCCTGGTCTTTTTTTCTTTTTCCCTAATTAAAAAAATTAAACTACTAGAAAATATAGAAGAGTATAAAGCAAGAATGTTAAAATTGCTCGTAAAATTACTGTTAGAGGAAATCACCATTGGTAACATTTTTTCCAACTATATATTATGAAAATTTTTAACATACAGAAAAATTAACATCTGCCACATTAGTGTTACCTGTGTATTTTTTTCTTCTGAACCATTTGAAAGTAATTTCAGCCCTACATCTTTAAAAATCTTACCATTATTGTAATCACTGGTAAATCTTAATGTGTTTCTTTCTAGTCTTTTACACACAAAAATACATATGCACACATTTATATCCTGTCCAACTTCTGAGTAATTGAAGTGTTGATCTCTTCATTTCCTGTCACCATCCTTACATCCCTCAAAAGTAATCTTTTTGAAAACTTAGATCTTATCACTGCCCTGCCTAAAGTCATTCCAGGTTTTCCATTTTCTCATCACATCCTGACCCAGCCTCTGGCCCATCTTGCTGACCTCATTTCTCGATAATCTCATCTGCCAATACCCCTGAATCACATAATCATTTCAGTCTTTTAAATACTTCCTGGTGTTTTTGTTCTCGTGCCCCCTGATTGGAATACTCTTGTGTCTTTTTCATCCTTTGGACTTGGCAAAACGTCTTCCTCAAAGTGGCCTTCTGTAACCACACTATCTAACATGTCCCAAGTTATTCTCTGTTCCTGCACCCTATTCATCTTCTTCCTTCACAACCCTTGCAACAGTTTGTGCTCCCGTGCACAGCCTGGTAAATAAGTTGAATTTATACCTTAGTGGAAAATTTGCCTGCCTTTAACAGGAAATACATAAAAGCAGTCTAGAGCTTTTATAGTGGCTTCTATGGGCATCAGAGATCCAGGCTACTCTTAGCTTTCTGTTTCACCAGCCTTAATGCAATTTGCATCTTCATTGTTGACTCATGGTTTAAGGTAACTGCTGGAGCACTAGCCATCACACATATATTCTGGGGAAGAAGAGGGAAAGGGCAAAAAGACAATACCTCGCAGTCAAGTCGGCTTTGTTTAAAGAGCCTTCCTAGAAGTACCCATAACATTTCTGCTCAGTCCTCACTGACTAGAACTTTATCACGTGGCTGTACTTTGTTTAAGGAGAAGGCAAGGAAATGTAGTTTTTATTTCAGGGAATTGTGTCCCCAGGTAAACATCTAGGGTTTTGTGAATATTGGAGAAGGGGAGTACGGATATTGGGTGGCAACCAACAGACTTTGCTGTATAGCTAGGTCAGAAATTGAAGATGGAATTCAGAAACCTGCCAGGATACATAAGACCTTCCTAGCTGATATATGATGGCTTGTTAACCTACCTCAAATGCCAGGTACTTCTATCCTTCAGATTTTTAAATGAGCAATCCGTATCTCATTTCTTCTTAAAACAGGTTCAACAAGAAACCCAAGAGAGGGATCCAGTTTCTTCAGGAGCAGAGCATGCTGGGAACATCAGTTGAAGAGATTGCCCAATTCCTGCACCAGGAGGAGCGTCTCGATTCTGTAAGACTGAGAACTGAGCACTTGCAAGTGGGTTCTATCAAGTGACACTAAGAACGTACCAGGTTTAACATAGAGATTGTCTGACCCTGAGTGCAGTGGCTATTGTCCACACCTCTGCTTATAGCAGCCCTACTCTTCCCTTTGGCCAGTGATGCAAAAAGCTCTTTGAAGGGAATGAACTAACCACCTGACAAGTGAAGTGTGCCTTCCCTGCTAGAAACTGTTCAATCTGCCACTAACCTCCCCCTCTAGTGTGCCCCATCAGTTCTTCCTTTTTAAGTCTCTTGTGCTTCCTCCTCCTCTGTGGCAGGACAGACTGACCTGGATTTATTGGGTGGGCAGACAGTTCAGGGAATCACCTAGCATTTCTAGTAGTTTTTCTTGTCCTGAGTGTCTTGAACTGGGCACTATGCCTCTCCACTCTGACTGAAGTGTCTTTCGTTGTGCATACATATTTGACAATTTCTAGATGTAAGTGAATGTGTGTGTTTCAGACCCAAGTGGGTGATTTCCTGGGAGACAGCACGAGGTTTAACAAGGAGGTGATGTATGCCTATGTGGACCAACTTGACTTCTGTGAAAAGGAGTTTGTCTCAGCCCTGCGGACATTTCTAGAAGGTTTCCGCCTACCCGGGGAAGCCCAGAAGATTGATCGGTTAATGGAGAAGTTTGCTGCAAGATACATAGAGTGCAATCAGGGGTGAGCGTCATGTTTAAATCCCTTGTACATCGTGTTTTTGCTTCCATCAGAATACTGATCTTAGTTTGGTTGGGGGTTGAGTGTAATCTTTCTAAGTCTATGCCAAACAACTAAAGTTTCTGTTCACCATGTGCCAGACACTGTACTGAGGGATTATTTCATGTAAGAACTCAGAGCAACTATGTCCCCTGTTACAGACAATGAGATTGAGATCTGAGAGGCTAAGTAACTTGCCCACGCTATTATGATAAGAAATTATTATGGTTTGAGAGGAAGCACTTGGTCACCTCTTCCCTAATCAAAAATAACTCCCTGATTTAATATATGGGATAGATCTTAGGATTTTAGTTTTTCTTTAATTGCATACTGATGAGCAGGTTACAAAAAATGGCTCTGTAACTAATAAAACCCATCTAAGTGCATGATTCCATGTTAGGGCCTTTTTTCATAGGTAGTTCATGTTTTTTGTAGAAAGTGAAATTGAAAAGAGAACTGACCTTTATTAAACACCTGCTATGTGTCAGCCAGGCCATGAGTTTTACATGTGTTACATTTAATTCATAGTAAGCCTGCGAATGGTATCCCCGTTTTACAGATGAGGAAACAGACTCTGGAACATTGAGCAACCTGTCCAGAATTAATCAGCTAGTAAATAGCAGAGCCAGGGTTGGATATGGGTTTGCCTAAATTAAAGCTCATTCTTTTTTCACTGAACATGAAGTTACTAGGATAAAAATGTCTGGATATACTGTGAAAATGATGTAAAATTGTTCAGTAGAAACATGTTGATAACATTTTCTCTCTTTAATCAAGTTGGTTTTCATATTAATTGATTCCAGTCCTCCACGGCAAGCTGTCCCCTGGAGGTGGCATGATCAGCAAAGGGATCATCTGGTCATTCTAACTAAATGGGTGCTAGAATTTCTGTGAAGACATAATTATATGTTATTTACTTTAAATATATAGGCATACCAAAAGTATTTGCTCACTTGTGTCTCGGTGCCACATTTGGATAATCTACAGTATTTCTAACTTTTTCATTATTAGTATATTTGTTACTGTAATCTGTGATCAGTGATCTTCAATGTTACTATTGCAATTATTTTGGGGAAGCACAAATCGCACCCGTATAAGATTGTGAACTTAATAATTGTGTGTGTTCTGGCTGCTCTACCAACTGGCTGTTCTCTTGTCTCTCTCCTCTCCTTAGGCCTCTCTGTTCCCTGAGACACAACAATATTGAAATTAGTCCATTTAATAACCCTTCAGTGGCTTCTAAGTTTTCATGTGAAAAGAAGTGTCTCACATCTCTCATATTAAACCAAAAGCTAGAAATAATTGTGAGGAAGGTATGTCAAAAGTTGAGATAGGCTGAAAACTAGGCCTCTTGCACCAAACAGTTAGCTAAGAAATTGCTACACCCACCCCAACCGTCAGCAACAACCATTCTGATCAGTTAGCAGCTATTGACATCTAGCAAAAAGATTACATCTCACTGCAGACTTGGACGATGGTTAGTATTTTTAGCAATGAAGTATTTTTAATTAAAGAATATACATGACATGCTACTGCATACTTAACAAATTACTATAGTGTAAATATAACTTTCATATGCACTTGGAAACCATGTGACTTACTTTATTGCAATGTTCACTTGATTGTGGTGGCCTGGAGCCAAAACTATTATATCTCTGAGGTATGCCTGTATTTCCTTTGTGGACCTGGAGACCTTGTTCTGTTTCCCTTAATCAGAAAATATGTGGCCTAATTAAACTTCACATTAGAATGCAGACCTTTTGTGTGTTCTTCAGAATTTCTCCTTTTCCTATTGGAAGCAATTGGGCAGACCAGTTTTTTCTAGCTTTAGCCTCACCTATTATGAAACTGTGCATCTACCAGTTTTTGTCCTTTTATCCTTGCATAAGACAAAAATAGTCAGACATCACCAGCATAATGTTTAGAACACACAAATAGTTCCTTTGTATTTCTGCTGTTAAATATTACAGTGGGTAATGTAAACTGTAAACTGTTGATAACTGGACAGCAGTTTTAGTCAGCTTTCTACCCAGTGCCCAGCACAAAGTGCTTGCGGACAGTAAGAGGACCAGCCTGTGGTAAGCGAGACACTAAGGGTGCTACCTAGAAGAGGCCTCACACTCAGGGTCTTACTCTGCAGGGTTGATGTCCAGGAGTGAGGGTGCCTTGTTTGTCTCAACCTGGAGGATACTTGGGGATCTTCTTACAAAACTGACTTGAAACTGTTTTATTCAAAGAAATCTAAAGCTGACACATATTCTTAACTACCTTTACACGCTGATGAAAGCATGAAAACTCTTTACTCATTTGGCAACATGTGGAGCAATCCGCCTGCTTTCAGTGAAGCGTGTCCCCATTCAGCACTGGACTGTCCCAGCCTCATCTCTATGCTTGTTCTGACATCTGGAATCTTGTTTTCCAGGCAAACACTTTTTGCTAGTGCTGACACTGCGTACGTCCTAGCATATTCGATTATTATGCTAACTACAGACTTGCACAGCCCTCAGGTACAGTATGTTAATGATTTATATATTATGGTAGCTCAATCAGTAGCTTGATTTGGACCACTGGATATTTTCTAAATGCTTTTTGAAATTTTTTTAAATTATAGGTAAAAAATAAAATGACAAAAGAACAGTATATTAAAATGAATCGGGGCATCAATGATAGTAAAGATCTACCAGAAGAATACCTCTCAAGCATCTATGAAGAGATAGAAGGCAAGAAAATTGCAATGAAAGAAACAAAGGAGCACACAATCGCAACCAAATCTACTAAGCAGAGTAAGGTCTAATGGCAAACTTTATATTCACTGCAATTTTCAAATGTGTCAGAATGCATGATTAAGCTCATTTTATGGATGATGGTGTTAATTTGCATATATAGATAACTGAATAAGAAATGTGGTTAATTAATCTGAATTGCTCTCCAAAAATGTTCCTTAAAACTTGCTTTGATACAAGTGGTGATTTTGCTGACCTTGATTAGAATTCTGTTAGTTTTGGCACTTTTGAAGCTACCCATATCTTTGTTTGCGAGGCAGCAGAGTGTAGAGGTTTATAGTGCAGGCTCCAGAGCCACTCAAGTCCCAGCTGTACTACTTATTAGCTGTGTGACCCTGTGTAAGTTACTTAACACCTCTGTGCCTCATTGTATGATGATAATATTTCTAACAGACTCATAGGATGGTTGGGAGGATTTGTGAATTGGTTATTATAAATTTTTTGAAGCAGTGCCTGGCACTTAGCCAGCACTCAGTGAGTCTTAGTTCTTATTCTCTTATTTCTCTCTAGATGTAGCTAGTGAAAAGCAGCGACGGCTGCTGTACAATTTGGAGATGGAACAAATGGCTAAAACAGCCAAAGCTCTAATGGAGGCTGTGAGCCATGCCAAAGCCCCATTTACGAGTGCCACACACTTGGACCACGTCCGGCCAATGTTCAAAGTGAGTATCCTGAGAAGTTAGGATGCGGCTAACCCCAATCCTGGAGTTAACCAGCCGGAAGCTAACCAGCGAGTATATAATGGGGAAGAGATTGAGGAGAGGAAAGGCCAACTCTGGGAACTGCTTTCTGAAGGTGAATCCTTTCTAGAAGCCCTATGATGATGATAGGCTCTGCAGTCAGAATGTCTGGTTTGGAACCCTGTCTTTGCCATTTTCGTTTTTATTGATGTTGTTTTTTAATTGAATTTATTGGGATGACACTGATTAATAAAATTAAGACGGGTTTCAGGTGCACATACATTGTATTGTGTGTTCACCACCCCAAGTCAAGTCTCCATCCATCCTGTATCCACCACTATACTCTCTACTTCCCTTTACCCCAAGCCTTGGCCACTTTGTAGTTCTGTGACCTTGGTCAGTTACTCAGCCTCTCTCTGTTCATCATCTATAAAATGGGGTCAAATACAGGGTTGCTGGTGAAATTTAATGAATTAATAATTATTTAGGCAAAAGAGTCCGTTTTATTGTGATAGCTCATCTCAGTGGCCTCAGGATTCGTTTATCAGATGAGAGTTGGTGGAGGTACACCACCTTAACCTGAGGCCTCTCTATTTTTAAAATGTCTAAAAAAGAAACACGTTCTAAAGCTACATTGATCAATTCTAGATTTTTGTGAGCTTTTCTTTTCAGGAAGTTCACAAGAAAATTGGAGGATAGGTAAAGTCTAAATAATTGAATTAGGGCTCTTTCAATTAATTAATTAAATTACAGGAGATAAGTTGCCTATAGGTTTTATTTTTGCACGCTAACCTCTGATTGGTAATGCTGCCTATTACACTGTGGGATCTCATTGATTAGTGATGTCTTTTGTGAGCACAGGTAGGCATAGAGGTGGCACACTAGCCACAGAGTTACCATCCTTTCTTTTGATCTGTACATGTAGTATATGGCATCCCCATAGTGATAGTTTTGACCACTGTTTTATATTGTAACTGGAATAGATTGAAATAAAAATAGCAGTTAATTTGGCACTCTGGCTGTGCTCATAACTAACAGTATGGCCTGTAAGTGCTCTTTCCACTGAAATTCTAGACATTATTGAAACCTTCCTTCTTTGGTAGCTGGTGTGGACGCCGCTGTTGGCAGCCTACAGCATTGGACTGCAGAACTGTGATGACACTGAAGTGGCCTCCTTGTGCTTGGAGGGTATCCGCTGTGCAATCCGGATCGCCTGCATCTTTGGAATGCAGGTGGGTGTAAGTTAACAAAGTTCCAGAGATGCTGGTAGGCTGTGTTCTTTTAGATTTGGCAAAACCTAGAAACTATCAGGCATTTATTGTAAAATCTCAGCCAACTCCTTATTTGTGCCCACTGAGAAGCAGCCCACAGATTTGTGTTAGCAACTGCCTCATTGGGAGGGAAAAATGGAGGTTTTGGTTAATAGTCTCTTAAAAGGTTTTACAGTTGAAAAACTTCCTTTGAAAGTTCAAGCTACTTGATTGGATTTGGTCTGCCTAACTTGCCTTCCCTGGTGCTTAAAATCAGCTTTTATTATAATTCCCTCATTTCCAGATCTTCTCTGGGGGGAGCAAATAGTTCATTAGGAAATGAATATGTCTGTAAACTTTTTGAATCTTAGAAAGTTCTAGCAAATAAAATTAATTTTTAAACTGTCATGAAATGAGGACATTGTCAATCCCATTCATTTTCTAAGTCAATAAGAATTTGCATCCATTTATTTGGAAAAACTCAATCTTCTATTCCCATTTATTTTACAGTTAAACATTTTCTTTTGTACCAAGACCATAGGCTTTGTCATCAGGCAATCTGGGTTTCAATACCCAGCTCTGCTATTTCTCTAGCCATGTGACATTGGCCCAGCTAACTTCTCTCTAAGATACCTTGCATTTCCTCATTTGTAAACTTGAAAAAAATAGGCCTACCTTGCAGGATTGTTACAGATCCCAGAATTTATGGGTAATGTTAGCATTCAGCAGATTCCTCCTCTGCTCCCTCCAAAGGGAATGGAACAGGAACATAAGTTTGAGGTCATTTGAAAAGGAAAGGGCTAGTTCTCAAACATGTGGTGTGTGGGAGCCTCAGTGGGATGTTATGACAGTAGGAGAACACCAGCGTGGAATAGCTGGTATGTTAGTGTGCATGAAGCCTGTCGTGTGTGCAGGTATCAGAGAAGCCCAGTGCACCAGCCCATATATGTGAAGACGGTCATGCTCAGGGTGGAATGTCAATGTTCTCTCTGGACTTCCATTACAGCTGGAACGAGATGCCTACGTTCAGGCTCTTGCTCGCTTCTCCCTGCTGACAGCCAGCTCCAGCATCACAGAAATGAAGCAGAAAAACATTGACACCATAAAGACGCTTATCACAGTGGCTCACACTGATGGCAACTACCTTGGGAATTCCTGGCACGAGGTGTGTGTCTCTCTGAAAGCCTGGTAATGGCCTTTTTTTAGTTCAGGTGACTACCGCATTCCTTTTATTCAGTGTCAGTTTCTCTTTGGTCACTTTCCGTTTTCTCGAAGTCGAGCCTAACTTTAACTCTAGGTTTTCTCTTATCCACAAATACATCATATATCTAAAGGTCAGTCTCTGGGGCTGTGGTGAGGGAAATGGTTTTGTTCAGATGCACCACCTCATGAGGTGATCTTACACCCCGGCCAGTGTCCTCACAGAGTGCACTGCTATCGTGACAGCTTTGCTCCACATTAATGCCACTTTCCCCCAGTCCTTACACATCTCTGGGAGTTCTCACCATCACGAGTAGATTTAGGACAAAGCTAGGAGCTTGATTTATCTCCCAATTCTTTCTTTTAAAAAATGGTCAGCATTTACAGTGAGCCATTAGGAAAATCGCAAGTGGGTTCACATTTTCATTTAACTAAACAATATCCCAACATTCTCACATAATTATGTGTACAAATGTGCTTGAAAAGTCATCGAAACTTTAGTTCTAAGGAAAAGATTGAAGTAAAAACAGCCTAAATGTTCCAACAATGAGAGATTGCTCTTTTTTAAAAAGTGTGGTACACCAGTTCTTTTCTGTGACGTAGCCATTTAAAATGATGTTGCGGAAAGGAGAGACAACCAGACATCATGCACTCTCTGGTCACATTTGCCTAAAACTCAAACTTAAATCAATTTGAGCCTCTACTGCAGTTTACAGGAAATACAGGATATAGAGAAGCACAGTATTGTTAGTTATTATCTTGATCATCATGGCACAGACCTTTGTCCATTTTCACCCATCCTTTCCTTTCGATATACAACTCTGGAGTATTTCATGTTAGAAAAGATGAAGGATGGGTGTTTTGCTTTTCATAAGTTGGGTACTTTTAAAAAAAAATAATTTCCTGCCCTGGCTGGGTAGCTCAGTTGGTTAGAGCGTTATCCTGATATGCCAGGGTTGTGGGTTCAATCCTCGATCCCCAGACAGCACACACAACTAATGAATGCATGGATAGGTGGAACAGCCAATTAATGTTTCTCTATCTCTCTCTCTCCCTCCCCCCCACCCGCCTTCCTCTTTCTCTTTAAAGAAAAAGTCAATTAAAAAATAATTTCCTGTCTTCTGAGGTGTCTTAATAACTACCTAGTGAATTAATGAATAGCTGCTTTCTCTCCTACAACTTATTTTTTTAACCTGGGAGGTATGATCTATGTGGGGTTTCTACTGGTTGCCAAGCATTTGCAGCACCTGGAAATATTAAAAATGAATTAACCGCCTATTTAATGGTCAGAAATCTTGAGAAATCAGGTTAGAGCCAATAAATTTTTGGCCACAAGTATTCACATGCTTGAGATTCCAGCTCTCCCCAGCTTCTGGAAAAGGGAGTCAGTAGGCATTAATAGTTTACTAGTAATAATTTATAGTGTGCTGTGTGGACCAACCAGGGAATGGCTTTCTTTGGTAGAATTAAGTACCTTTCTCAGTCAAGAGGAAGACAGTTTATAAGTAAAGATACTCAGCAGTGTTCAGTGGTATAGTGAAGCCCTGTCATCTGGGATTGGATTGTAAGATCAGTATGAAAGGCAATCTCAGCTTTAGTCAGAAGTTCCCTTGAACATCCTTAGGAGGGCTTTATCTGGAGATCTATGCTCCATCCTCCAGTGAGTTTCATGAGGCTAGCTTTCCTTCCAGGAGAAGCTGAAACTAATTTGTTTCTTTAGGTAAGCTCCAGGTGAGAGAGGCTTGTGTGAAGGTATGTGATCTCAAGCACCAGAACCACCCACAGGGCTGGAAGATACTCTTCTCCCACTGCATGTCCATTCTAGGGCACATGCTCATTCATTCAGTTAACCAAGTAATAGTTGCCAACTATTTAACTGCTGGGTATTCAGCAGTGAACAAGACAGAGTTAATGCCCTTTTGGCACTTAAGACAGCGAACAAACAAATAATTACATGGTATAATGTTAAAAAGTGTGTGACCAGGGGAGGGTGTGTGATCTTGGGGTGGTCAAGGTGGGTGTCTCTGAGGACACAGGCCTAAGCTGAGAATCTAAGGAGTGAGCCAAGGGGAAGAGTATAATGAACATGTTCCAGGCATAAGAAACAGCAAGTGCAAAAAGACCCTGATGTAGGACTAGATATGTCAAGCTAAAGGAACAGCTGGGAGGCTAGTGTGTTATTTAGAGAAGAAAGGAGGTGGGGTGGCTAAGTCAGAATAGATGGTGCACTTATTGAGTGGCATGGTGGATGGAATCTCCTTCTCTAGGCAAACACCTTCTTTTCTCTCTTGAGCACTTAATAAATTTGCATAAACATTTATATCACATAACTGTTGTACCAGCTTTTTATTTATTTATATATATGTGTGTGTTTTATATATATATATATATATTTTTTTTTTCCCCCCTTCCTCAGAAAGGAAGGGAGAGGTATAGAGAGCTAGAAACATCAGTGAGAGAGAAACATCTATCAGCTGCCTCTTGCACGCCTCCTACTGGGGATGTGTCCACAACCAAGGTACATGCCCTTGACCGGAGTTGAACCCGGGACCTTTCAGTCCACAGGCAGACATCCTATCCACTGAGCCAAACCAGTCAGGGGTGATGTACCAGCTTTTATTTTGCTCTTTCCCTTTTTAATAATTTGTTATTGTTTTTTATGTGAAACCTGTTGTCCAGACCTACATTCTGGGACTAGGAAAGCCCCCTTAAATGCCTTCAGATTTTATTCTCACCTGAAAAGCTGTGCGTTTCCTAGGACTCTTTAATGACTAATTTAAGATCACGCTAATTTAGGCTATAAAATGGGACCTCATTTCTTTATGCCTTCTTTTTATTAGATCTTGAAGTGTATCAGCCAACTAGAGCTTGCTCAGCTGATAGGAACCGGTGTGAAGACCCGCTACCTGTCTGGGGCTGGGCGTGAAAGAGAGGGGAGCCTGAAGGGCCACACGTTGGTGGGAGAAGAGTTCATGGGCCTTGGTCTTGGTAAGACTCCAGGCCCCACAGCTGGCCATCATGGACTCTCAAGTTAACCGGGATGAAACACTGCTTGTCTCATCAGGACTGTCTCATAAACCGTCTCTTCCTTCTGTGCCAGCTGACAGTATGTTTACTAATGCAAGTGCTGCTTCAGCAGTCTTAATTGTCATGAAACTGTCAAGTAATGCCAATTTTATCAAAATTAGCAGGGTGCATTACTTTTCTCTATAGACATAAAACTATACTAGTACTGGGAGGAAAAGCCACTTGCTTTAGAAAGGCTACAGCTTTGGTACCTCCTATGAGAGGAGTGGGTATGTGTATCTCTAGATTTTAAAAGGTGGAGTCGACCTCTCTTCCATGTTCATTTGGGGAGCTTTTTCAAATGGTATTCTTATGAAAATAGAATTATTTCTGGCTATATGTTAGATTGAGAGGCTCTTATCAGTGATATACTGGTAACACAATAATAATAGGGCAAACAGATATGCCAGGGCACATTCTAAGCTGTCAGTGAGACTGGGACTATTATCCCCAGTTTGTAAATGAGGAAAGTTGAGGTACAGGGGGTGAAGGGAGATATAAAGCCACCCTGCAAACAAGTGGCAGAGGTAATTTTCAAAACCAGGCCATCTGATTGCAGAGAGCAGGCTCCTAGGTCCCACAAACAGTGGTTAGAATAGTACAGAGTAGCAATACTCCATGAAAATGGAGGGTTGTAATAGTACCTACTTCTTAGGGTGCATGTGAGGGTGACTGGAGTGAAATCCTGGAACATTATACTGATCATTCAGCAGGTGTAAGCCATTACATATTATAGAAGCTCTGGATTAGTGTATATTAATTCAAATTTATTTCCTTAATATAGGCATGTAATATTATAAAAATGTAAAACACTATGAAGAGAGATGATTAATACAAACAAGAGAAAGTATAAAAATTCATTTTAAAAGCCAAACCCCAAAATATAAGTTTCATTTTACTCCACCATCAGTTGAGGATTTTTTTGCCTGCAAACCATTCTCATTTGTGTTTTTTGTCTGCATGTTGATACGGTGTTCTGAATACTTGACTGTTTTGGAAGCACTGTTGTTTTGTGCATTGTGTTTCAGGTAATTTGGTGAGTGGTGGAGTGGATAAAAGACAGATGGCCAGTTTCCAGGAATCGGTTGGGGAGACCAGCTCCCAGAGTGTGGTCGTGGCTGTAGACAGGTACCGTAATGACTTTTCTCTCCAGTGACGCTGGATCACCCAAGGGCTTGGAATGCTCTGTGTCAGCAATTTCCCACCTTGTACATCTTATGGCACATATAAACCAATTACTAAAGTTCTGTGGCCACAAAAAAATCTATTCGTTGCAGATCTGACCAAAAAAATGTAAAATATTTTGATTCATTTACACCAGATGGCTTTTGTTGTGTTGGCTGTCATTTTTATTTGACCATCTAAGGGAAAAAGAGGTCAGTGTCCCTAACTAAATAGGTAGTTCATGTTTTAAAAATTCTTAGTGCACAGCAGTTGAAAATCACTGCTCTATATAGTTACTAGGTGAATGATTCCTAGTTTGTTTGTTGTCAAAATTGTCGGTTCCAAATCACTCAAACTAAGAACTGTTCAAAGTGGCAAACGTGGTCCATAACTCATAGCCTTCACATTCATTTTGATTTTGACCTTGAATTCCATCATGACCTTTTAAAAAAATTACAACTTTAACTTTGTGACCAAATTGTCTCAAGTTAAAACTGCCATAATGTTCACAATTCATTAAACTGTCTTTTTTGAATAAACATTTTTATAAGCCTTTTGTAATTCCAAAGTTCAGTTCTGAAAATGTTAATTTTGGTAATTTTTTGCCAGTTTTTTATTGCTGTCATAGAAGAGCAGCTTTTTGAAGTCCTCACTCAGCCACTCCCACTGTGGTGTCATCACATGCTAATATGTTTTAACTCTTCCCCTCTCCTTTTGGTGTGTCACTTTGTCAGTATAGGCATTTCTGTTCTGTACCTCTGATGCCTCAGCATTTATTTTAAAATGGAGATACCAGACCTGAAATGTTTCCTTTCTCCCTTTTCTAAGATTGTTTGAGATTGAAACTTGGGCTTTCAAATCTAATTTTCATTTTATTATGTCTGGAATTACCTTCCTAGAATTTTTACCGGATCTACTCGACTGGATGGAAATGCAATAGGTATGTATGTGACTCCTCTGTGATAACTCAGACGCCTCGTGTTGTGCCCGTCTGACCGTTACTAACGAGGCCTCGCATGTGTTGTTGGGTCTGGCCTGTAGTTGATTTTGTCCGCTGGCTGTGTGCTGTGTCCATGGACGAGCTGGCTTCCCCCCATCATCCCCGCATGTTCAGCTTACAGAAGATTGTGGAGATATCATACTACAACATGAATCGGATCCGACTGCAGTGGTCCCGAATATGGCAAGTGATCGGAGATCACTTCAATAAGGTAACTCTTCAGATTTCAAAACTATTCCATCGCTGTTCAAAACAACAGGCAATTAAATTTTAAAAAGAAGTGATGAGAGTTTAGGTGCCTATCACCCATTTTCCCTGTGGAGTCAAGGACAGCTCAGTAGGACCCATAGTATACTTACATATTGATAGAACTTAAAGAGAATGAATTAAGAATTCAGGCTGTGCGAAGTCTTCAATATCCCATAGGCTAACATGACAAAGAGCATTATAGTCACTCAACAAACATAATGGTATTTGAAAACATTATGAAATCCTAAAGTGCTTTCTGAAAAGTTTATGTTCCATGTAGTTTCACTATTAAATGTCACTTCCATTCTATTCTGACTTCATTGTCACCACTTTTCTGAAACTTACAACTACTGAGAGAGAGCCAGACTAAACTTTCTCTCCACAAGAGGTTTCATTATATACATGCACTTTGGTCAATATAGGTAGACACATGCACACCTATATTGACCAAAGAAAAAGAAATCAGAAGAATATGTATTACATGTGTATGTATGTACTTGTGATGCTAATTGCTTCATAAGGGAAAAATAACAGCTTAATAACACTGTTCCCTACCAAAGCACACTTCACAATTTACAAAAAATTTCTCGGGTCTGGAGATATAATAATACAGTTATAATACAGATGCTTAAAAATAGTTTAAAAAAAAAAAACATTTACCCAAAAGAGAATCACTCTCTACACTGAATAGAAGAAAAATCGTAAAAAGAAGTTGTCTGCCATTGAATATAGAAGGAGCAATAGAGTGCCAATAAATAATTTGTAGCATCTGCTGATTTCTATGGTGCTCCCTCCCTTTTCCAGCGACCAATTTGAGGTTAGTAATAAGATGCCACTAAATGTGTAGACTAAGGAAGAGTTGGGCACTGCTGGCTCTCATGGGCCAGCTCCCGGACCCTACAGAAATAAGGCATTGTCAGGTGTAGTCTGACTTGGAACATCAACTAGTCAAAGTTCGTGTTTACTTTGTGTCCTTATTAGCTCCAAGTAGGGTACCTCACAGCATCTTTTTAACAAACTGCCTGAGTGCCTATACCAGGCTGTGGACAGGTGAGGTCCCTGCCCTCAGAGAGTTCACCCACATTTTATGATAAAATAATCGATGGTAAAGGGTCAGGTGACACAGTATGTCAGTCTTCTCTACAAGTGACCTTTCATCTGAACTCTCAGTGAGGAAACAGCTACAAGAGCCTGAAGATGACCCAGAGCAACTGTTTGCTGAGTGAATGGTGACACTGTCATTCTTCTAAAGTCAGCTGGTTCAGCAACCATCTTTCCCACTGTTCGAGTAAATGAATGCTTAGTGGACCAGTTGACATGATTGATGTGAACTTGCTGGAAGTCTAGGTTTCATGTTCTTTTGTCGATTTTCCGACCTGCAATTCTGTTGTCAAGACTCTACATGCCAGTACTCAGTTACCACTGGGTCACTTCTGGGCAGGCTTGGGACGTGGCAGGTAGTACTTAGACATTTCATGGCTGTCAACTTCATTCCATCTAATTGGTGCCATTAAGCACAAAGTTTGGAAAATTCATTTGCTCGCCCTGGGGCTTTTTTTTTCTTTCTTCACAACCTCAAAACCATGTCTGCTTTCCCTTGGGAACTGGAGCACCTGAGAATCTCGAGGCTTGAAGAAATGGACGGCTAAGTACAGCTGTAACTTAGCTCTGGAGATTCTAGCAGAGCCATTGGGACAATCACATGTTTCTTTTCTTCTAAACTAGGGCACGTGTGTGTCTTGGGTTATGCAAAGTTGCACAACAAGCCTGGTGTATATTCCTGAAACAGGAATTCCTGAATTCTCCTGAATTTTTAGGATTGGTTATATTTTTTATTAGTCTCTAATTACATAAACATTACATGAACATCTTTTTTTTTTAATATATTTTATTGATTTTTTACAGAGAGGAAGGGAGAGAGATAGAGAGCAAGAAACATCGATGAGAGAGAAACATCGACCAGCTGCCTCCTGCACACCCCCCACCGGGGATGTGCCCGCAGCCAATGTACATGCCCCCAACCGGAATCAAACCTGGGACCCTTCAGTCCTCTACCACTGAGCTAAACCGGTTTTGGCTACATGAACATCTTTTAAAAAATTATAGCTAAAAACATCTTTGACCATCACTACCCCAACAGTACAGCCCCTAAAACTAGTTGTTGTTATCAGTTTGATATATATCTTTCCAGACACTTTTCTATACACATGCATATGTTGGTACTCATAGAAATATAGATAATATTGGTTTGTTTTGCTTTTTTAAAAAACAACTAGTATTATACATATTTTGTAATTTGCTCCTTAATTATGCTACAATATATGAGTTTATTCTTTTTTAATTGTAGTAAAACATACATAACAGAATTTTCCATTTTAACCATTTGTAAATGTAGAGTTCAGAAGTGTTATTAAGTACATTCGTTGTGGTGATCTCCTGCGTTCTTTTCATCTTGCAAAACTGAAACTCTGTACCCATTAAGCAACGACCCCATTCCTTCCTCTCCCCAGCCCTTTGGGAACTATTTTCTCCTTTCTGTCTGTGAATTTGATGGAATCATTCAGTATTTGTTCTTTTGTATCTCGCTTATTTCACTTGGTATAACATCCTCAGAGTTCATCTTGTAGCCTTTGACAGAATTTCCTTCTTTTTTGAGGCTGAATTTATTCTTTCTTTTTAATTGCCAATGTTATTCCATGTGAACATATCATGTAGTAATTTTCCTATTGATCTTTTTTTTTTATTGCAAATAATAATGATTTTGTTAGAATTCAAACATTTTCCGGTCAGACATGTGTCAGTGAAGTTTCTCACTTGGAATAAGCTCCTGTATGCGGTTCAGATCCTTTGTCAGGGGTTCTGGTGAGAAATATCCCCTTGCTCTGCTGTTAGGGTTTCTTCTTGAGGGAGAAGTTTACACCCATAACTTCAGTCCCTAAAAGTAGGTAACCCATAGACAAGTCTAATGTTTGGGAATTGAAAGCCTCACTATTTCTACTGAATTTTCTGAGGCTGACGATACTCATTTGTAATGTTTTGCTTTAGGCGGCAGACGTGGGCAGTATGAAAAGGTTTTACAGAGACTTCCAGGTCTTCTGACCTGTCATGCATGTTTGTATCAAGTTAAATAGCACATGTAGAATTGTTTAATGGGTATAATTTCAATTTTGCAAGATGAAGAGAATGCTGGTAGTACAGTAATGTGAATGTCTTTAACTACTAAACTGCACTTAAAAACGGTTAAGATGATATATTTTGTGTTATGTGTATTTTGCCACAATTTTTAACAAATTGGCACATTTTAAAAGAACTTGTAACTAAATGTACATTACTTTCACCATTAAACTTAACTAAAATTGTACAAGTCAAATGCTAAATAATCATTTTTTTTCTCCTTCAGTGTGTTTTCCCAGAGCATTTGTTTTAAAGGCAGGACGTACATTTTTGAGGTTCAGAACCCCCCATCAACAGTTGTTTCACTGTGCCTATTTCACCTCACTTCCTGTTGTGCTCAGGTTGGCTGTAACCCTAATGAAGATGTCGCTATCTTTGCTGTTGACTCATTAAGGCAACTTTCCATGAAGTTTCTTGAGAAGGGAGAATTAGCCAACTTCCGTTTCCAGAAAGATTTTTTGAGACCCTTTGAGCATATCATGAAGAAAAACAGGTATGTGCATTGTTCTGAAAGAGCTTTGGTCAAACTCCCCATTGGGCCCAGCCAGTGAGGCTTAGTGGTTGAGCATCGACCCATTAACCAAGAGTTCCCCAGTTCAATTCCCACCAGGTTATAGGCTCAATATCCCTCACTTTCATCTCTCTCTAAAAAAAAGAAAATCAGTAAAAACATATATTTTTTTTAATTTCCCTATTGATCCCCTAAAAAGACCCCCTACCACTAACCACACAGTTTTTTTCTTTCTTGATGGTGGAAGCAAATAAAATGAACAGACTCTGATTCACATCTATTGTCTCTAAGTAAATCACACTGCAATCGGTGTGTAACTTTTCCCAAAGGACACATTACACCACTGCACATAGTAATAATGCGTCACGTGTCTTTTTGAGGCTGTGGGGGGGGGGGGGGTTGTTGCGGGGCAGAGGAAGAGTCACTGCTGAAGCAGCCTCCAGCAAGGTCAAGGATTATGTGACTCAGCATTTGTGCCCCAGGAAAGTGATAAAGAGGTCAAGGCAGCTACTAGCCCTTCGAAGCAGTCACCTTTTCATTCATTCACTTGGCTTTATGGAGGCCTGCCATCTCCTAGGTACTATTCTAAGTGCCAAGCATCCAGCAATAATGAAAACAGTCAAAAATTTATATTTTCATTTGGCCCTGATTCAATAATCATGGCAACTGGATGATAGGTATACAGTATTCATTACTCCATCCTCTCTATTTACATATATGTTTAAAGTTTTTCATAATAAAATTAAAAAACAAGTTCTTGTTTGTTTGTTTATATTCCAGTGTGATAGATAAGTAAATGTTCAATAAATCATTGGTAATTACTCTAAAAAACATTAAGGGGCTAGGGATAGAAAAACTCTTTATACGGAGCAATCATAACCCAGTCGTTATCAAGACTCAGGTTCTTTCTATTTCTTTGTTTGGCCATCCACAAGGTCACTTTCATCCTTGAGCCTATTGTTTGTGATTGCTGGACTGAGGCTCTAGCTCCAGCCATCATGCTGCTGTTCAGAGTGAAAATAAGAGAAAAGGGGGCAGAACCTGCCATGTGTATTCCTTTTAAGACAAAAGCTAAACCTTCCCAGAAACCTCTTCTCCCTGATGCCATACATTTTTTTCTGACATCTAGTTAGAGTATCGGGTCTAGTAATAATTAATGTCATTTTTAAACATTCGTTTAAAATCTTGCTTGGCGTTGACTTGTATTGACATAACCTTCAAACACGTGGTATCTACAGAACGTGTGAAGTGCAATTAACAAGTTTTGCTTGAAAAAGTTTGTGTTTGGTTTGGTTTTTGTTGCAAAACTAGGGCTAAGAAGATGGCGGATGAAGAGCATATTAGGCACTGCCTGCTTTACGAGTTCCAATTAGGAAGAAAAGCAAGTGAGGCTGCAAAAAACATCTGTAGTGCTCTTGGTCAAGATGCAGTTAGCGCCAGAAAATGCCAGCGTTGGTTTGAGAAATTTCGCGAGGGAAATTTTTCGTTAGATGACAAGAGTGGTCGAGGCCGTGTGTCCAATTTTGATCAAGAAGCTCTTGAAGCTCTTTTGGTGCAAAATCCTCAAATTACCCAACAAGAGCTTGCGACAAACTTTAAATTGTTCACAAAAAACAATTTCCAATCAATTGCGTGCACTTGGCAAAGTCCAAAAGTTTGGAAAATGGATTCCTCATGAGTTGACCGACAACAACCGTAATCAGAGAGTCACAATTTGCAGTTCGCTCCTCTCTCGTCAAAACCGTTTGCCGTTTTTAGAGCAAATTGTTACCGGAGATGAAGAATGGGTGCTGTATGTTAATTTGAAAAGGCGGCCTCAATGGTTGGACAAAAGTGAGGCTCCGCAGCCCACGCCAAAACCTGACTTCCATGCAAAAAAAGTGATGATGTGTGTTTGGTGGAATTTTAAAGGAATTCTTTATTATGAACTTTTACCATCTAACCAAACCATTACAAGTGCAGTGTATAGTGCCCAATTGGAAAGGTTAGCCCAAGCTTTAAGAGAAAAAGAACCCGCGCTGATTAATCGGAAGGGCGTAATTCTTCACCACGATAACGCACGACCGCATACTGCAAGAATCACTGCTGAAAAACTGCGCCAGTTGGAATGGGAAGTTCTCCCTCAACCTGCATATTCTCCTGATATTGCCCCTTCCGATTACCATTTGTTTCGTTCTTTGCAAAACTTTCTTCTTGGAAAAAAATTTAATAATGAAGAATGCCTCCAAAATGCATTGCCCGAATTTTTTGCATCAAAATCACAAGAATTTTACAACAGAGGGATTAAAATGCTTCCTGAGCGTTGGGCACAAGTAGTAGAAAACAACAGCAACTATATTGTTGATTAAATTTTGTTGTATTGTTTAAATAAATTCGATTTTAAAAAGTATTAGAAAACGACATTAATTATTACTAGACCTAATAATTATGTAGCTCCTCTAGCTGCAAGGGAGACTGGGAAATTGGAGTCCTGGCACATGCAACAAGATTTCCATGTTGTCTTATATTTATGATTTGTTTCCTGAAGTTGGGCATGTTGCTGCCTGCAGTGAGACTTCTGTTATAAGGAGGTGGGAGGGTAGTTTCTGGGTAGGCAAGTAACTGTCTCTAATTTTTTTCTTGTATTTGTGTAAGAGTTTATTTGAGGCAAACTGCCGACATATGCTGGAGAGCAAGATCTCAAAGATCCAGAGAATAATAAGTTTTGCGGCTTTTTTATGGATGTGATATTAAAGAGGAAACATAAAGGACAATTACATGGAAATGGGGAAAAACAAGGCAGAGATTGGATTACAAGATAGTTAACAAGATTATGTGGTCTGTTATTTCAAAGGTGTGTTAACCTAGATGCACAGAAACTATGGACAGGTCTTGCCTCGGGCATGACTACTCACCATGACTTGCCCAATTAGGAATTCATGATCTTTTTTTTTTTTTTTTCCCCCACAGTTGATAATAAATCAATCAAGATGATACATTCATGACCAAGCTTTGGTCAAATATTGTCTCCAATTTTTTTTAAGTGAATGTGGATTACTGCGTGGTTTTAAAAAATGTGTTAAGTGCTGCTTCTACATGATAAGCTGTGTATGTCTTCCCACTATAGAAAGTACAGATGACATGGCTGCCCCATTCCTTCCTCAGGTCACCGACCATCCGGGACATGGTGATCCGCTGCATCGCCCAGATGGTGAACTCACAGGCGGCCAACATCCGCTCGGGCTGGAAGAACATCTTTGCCGTGTTCCACCAGGCAGCCTCAGACCACGACGGGAACATCGTGGAGCTGGCCTTCCAGAGCACAGGCCACATTGTCAGTAGGTGTCTCTGTTCCCTCCTAACATCCCCCACAAGTCTAGAAGAGGGACTGCTTATTTCCTCCCAAAAAAGGGCTTCCTTGGGTTAGCTATACTGTGATATAATGACGTGCCATATTCTTGACATGTGCACAGCAACCCTGTGAAGAAAATACTGTCAACTCTAATTATTCGCAGCGTCCATGTTTGTGAATTCACCTTCTTGCTGAAATTTATACGTAACCCCCATTAATACTCCTGGCACTTTGGGTGCCTTTTGTGGACGTGCACATGCACAGAACAGCAAAATACTTGAGTCACCCAAGGTACACATTCCCAGCTGGGTTATTATAGAAGGCCATGCTCTGCTTTCTCGTTTCAGCTCCTTTACTGTAAATTAGCAAGTGTTCTTTCCATAGTACACCTACTGCCACGTTGTTTGCATTTTTGTCTTATTTGGTGATTTTGCCATTTAAAATGGCCCTGCACATAGTGCTAAAGTGCTGTCCTGTGTCCCTAAGCACAGGAAGGCCGTGATGTGCCTTATGGAGAAAATACATCTACACTAATAAAAGAGTAATATGCAAATTGACCATCACTACAACACACAGGATAGCCACCCCCATGTGGTCAAAGATGGCCTCCCCCCTGCTACCAATCTGGTTACCCCCAACTGCCCTACCCTGCAGGCCTGGTCACCCCCAACTGCCCTCCTCTGCCGGCCTGGTTCCCCCAAACTGCTTTCCCCTGCAGGCCTGGTTCCCCCCAACTGCCCTCCCCTGCTGGCCTGATTGCCCACAACTACCCTCCCCTGCTGGCCATCTTGTGGTGGCCATCTTGTGTGTTAGAGTTATGGTCAATTTGAATATTACCTCTTTATTATAGGATTATATAGGAATTGACTTAGGTGATAGTTGTCTGTCTTGCCCATTGGAGCATGAGCACCCTGAGGCAGCAAGTTTGATTCATCATCCCTGTCTCCAGGGCCCATAACCATGCTTTGCACATAGTTGACACTCAAATGTTTATTGAATGAATGATGTTTGGGTCTTTACATCATTGTTTGAGCTCAGGAACCAGTTTAGCCCAAATTGTACCCAGTGCACTTATTCCTGAATAATTGACTAAGAAGATCTGTCTTTCAGAAATACTGGCATGCTTTTCTTAGATTTTCACAAAAGAAATCCTCTCTGGGGTGTGTGTGTGTGTGTGTGTGTGTGTGTGTGTGTGTGTGTGTGTCTCTGTGTGTGTGTGTGTCTCTAATCCACATTTCTAAATCCTGGTCTTATTTTTTTTAATGTGCCTTTGTCTCCCCAGCAACTATTTTCCAGCACCATTTCCCTGCTGCCATCGACTCCTTTCAAGATGCTGTGAAGTGCTTATCGGAGTTTGCCTGCAACGCTGCTTTCCCTGACACCAGCATGGAAGCCATCCGGCTCATCCGTTTCTGTGCCAAATACGTCTCCGATAGGCCTCGGGTACATTTCTCCTTTTCTCTCTCATAAGAGCAATGAGGGGACGGAGTTATGGGGCCAAAACCTTCCCTGACCACCTGACAAAGAGCTTTCCATTGTAGGGGTTATACCTTTTCTGTATTTTGTATTTATGAAATTATTTTATTCAACTGGACTTTTGTTTGGTATCCTACAAATTATTTTGTAGACAGTAATAGTATTTTAGCTTTGAATTTTTGCAAAGCTGAACAAGTTAGACCCCTGGTCGGCAAACTGCGGCTCTTGGACCACATGTGGCTCTTTGGCTTCTAGAATGTGGCTCTTCCACAAAATACTACAGCCTGGACGAGTCTGTTTTGAAGAAGTGGCATTAGAAGAAGTTTAAATTTTAAAAAGTTGGCTCTCAAAAAAAATTTCAGTTGTTGTACTGTTGATATTTGGCTCTGTTGACTAATGAGTTTGCCAACCACTGAGCTAGGCCTTTCTATTTGAAGGAAAATAAACCTCCCTTTTATGAAATGATATTTTGCCATTGTGACATGGCTGGGAAGTCACACTGAAAAATCACCTTTTGCTATCTCCTGGAAATATTTTGGGTTTTTCTATTACCTGTGTTTCCCCGAAAATAAGACATCCTCCGAAAATAAGACCTAGCGCGTAGAAAGATAAGACATCCCCTGAAAATAAGACCTAGCGCAACTTTGGGAGAAGAAATTAATATAAGACACTGTCTTATTTTTGGGGAAACAGGGTATGTCTTCCCTATCTAAGGCGGCCTGCTTGGTTTAAATGACAATCTCAGAATACTGAAATTGGGTGGAAACAAGCATAAACTAATGGCTAGATCTCTTCTCAGGCATTCTCTACAGAACTGTAAGACCCTGAGATGACATGCTTGGTCCCCACAACCGCTCATGAAGATGATGATGATGATGATAGTGAGAGCCACTGTTAGCTGAGCACTTACTACATGTCAGGCACCATTCTAGGGACTGGGTGTTGATTTATTTAATCTCCAAAGCAGACCTACTAGGTGGGTAGTTATATCCCCATTGTGCAAGGGAGTTAACTGAAGCACAAAGAGAAATTGCCTAAGATTAGGTAACCAGAGTTGTTAAAGAAATTCCTTTACGACAAACAATGCCACTTTAAGAGTGGTTACAGAGCAAAGGGCTGGAAATCCTAGCAATAGGGCTTTACATCCAGGCTATGGAAAGACTGCCAGCTCTTAGCTGCATGACCTTGGGCAGCTTACTTACCCTCTTAGTGCCTCAGTTGACTCATCTGTAAAATGGGACCAGTATTTTTTCCCTGCCTCTCGGAATCATAGTGAGAATTATTAAACCATGTAGAGCACTTTCACAGTCCCCAACCCATAATAAGCATTCAGGAATAGTAGCTGTTGCTGCTAATATTTTAAGTCGTATTTTAAGAACTGTAGTAACATTCCAGAAAGACCTAAGATTTTGCATCATCCCTTGCTGAATGGATATTTTTAGGAGAGGACATGTATGAGGCCTTCCTCCCTGTGTAGTTCCCTTCACTTTCTTCCTTTTGCTTGCATAGTAATGAGAGGCGACTTTCATTGTAGGTGCTACAAGAATACACAAGCGATGACATGAATGTGGCTCCTGGTGACAGAGTCTGGGTCCGAGGCTGGTTCCCCATTCTGTTTGAGCTCTCCTGCATCATCAATAGGTGCAAGCTGGATGTGCGGACAAGGTAACTGTGTCCCAGGGTGGTGCCCCTCCCATCACTGATTGAGCCTCAGTCACCTGCTCACCTGACCCATGCTCTCCCACTCTCTGATCTGTTCTTCTCTTCCCCCGCCCCCTCCCTATTCTGCCCCTGGCTTTGTTCCTGCAGAGGACTCACGGTCATGTTCGAGATCATGAAGAGCTATGGCCACACCTTTGAAAAGCACTGGTGGCAGGACCTGTTCAGAATTGTGTTCAGGATTTTTGATAATATGAAACTCCCGGAGCAGCAGTCAGAGGTAGGTGATGACTAAAGCCCAGGATGACATGGAAGACAAGCCTCTCTGTCCTTTGTCTGCCTCTGGGGGTTGTGCCCTCATCTCCATGGAAGTCTTAAATACTGAGCCACTTGAGATGTGTTTTAAAAATGGAAACAGCCTTCCTGGCACTCTTCTACCAATATCAACTAATATAAGAAACCCTCCCCGTCTGAGGACGAGTGAGAGGAACTTAATCACCTCGCTCTGCCTTTTTGGCCCTGAGGCATCGTACCTGCCAGATCAGCAGGGCACCCGACTAGTTCACTTGACACCTTCTGAACAGTCAGTAAAAAGTGGAGTGACTCTGTCCCTTCAAAAACACTTAAAAGGGTTTTTAATATGAAGTTGCAGTCAGATGGTGTCAGCAAACATTAGGCCATTTTTAAAAAAGATGCGAGATGTTTCTAGTTGTCTTTGTTATTTCTACCCTGGAGGGAGAAGGCATTCTAGCTCAAGATTTTAAGATGGGAGAGTAACTTCTTTACCTTCTTTTAGGAACAGTATTCCCTCCCTCCCCTGATATAGAAGGAACATTTGTTTAATATGGAATATTAAGAATACAAAAAACTAATCATTTAAAATCATTGCGAAATTAGTTAATGTTTTGGCAAGTTGCCCTCTGTCTTTTATATAGACTAAATAAGGTTGTGAATGGACCAGGTTATGGTATAGATACAGTTTTCTAATCTTATATTAAAGTAATTAAAATTTTTCTTCATTATAAAAGAAATTGGAAAACAGAAAAACAAAGAAAAAATTTAAGCACCCACAGTTCAAAACTTCCACAAGTTACCACTGTTAACCCCTTAAGATATGCCGTGTGTGTTGTGTATGTGTGTGTTATACACTTTTTTTTTTACAATGGAATCCTATCATATACGGGGAACTTTTTTTTAACTTACGGTAATGTGTGTTTTCCTACAACCGCAACTTGTCCTCCACAACATTTTTAGGGACTACAAAAACATTCCTATCTGTGGATGTTCCATAGTCCATGGAAATGGTTTCCAATTTTCCTTTAGACAGCAATGAAATGAACATTTTTGCAGCTACAGTTTGCTTTTAGGAGAAGTGGTCTGACTGCCAGGTTTGGGGCTTGCACATCACTGAGGCTTTTGATACCGTGTTTCCCCGAAAATAAGACATCCTCCGAAAATAAGACCTAGCGCATGGAAAGATAAGACATCCCCTGAAAATAAGAGCTAGCACAACTTTGGGAGAAAAAATTAATATAAGACACTGTCTTATTTTCGGGGGAAACAGGGTACATACTTCTAGTTGACCTCCAAATACACTTATAGCTCTTCACACTTCTGCCAGCAATGCATGCATGTTACTGCTTCCCCATACCCACTTCCAGCTCTTCGTAATTTATTTAATCATTAATTTGATAAGCCAGAGATGTGAGAGTGACACATCTACTGGTTTCCTCCTGCACGCATCCTGACCAGGGCCAGGGATCAAACCCACAACAGAGGTATGTGCCCTTGACTGGAAATCAGACTTGGTATCCTTCGGTCCATAGGCCAACGCTCTAACCACTGAGCAACCAGTCAGGACTAGATATTTCTTCAACATACTTTTTTCAGATATATATCCAGAGGTAGAATTTATTGGATTATATGGTAGTTCTATTTTTTTTTTTTTTTTTTTTTTTTTTAGGAACCTTCATACTGTTTTCCATAGTGGCTGTACCAATTTATAGTCCACCAACAGTACACAAGTGTTTTCTTTTTTTCACATCCTCTCCAGCATTTATCTCTTGTCTTTTTGATGAATGTCATTCTAACAGCTGTGAGGAGACATCTCGTTGTGGTTTTGATTTTTATTTCCCTAATGATCAGTGATGTTTACTACCTTGCCATGAGGTTGTTGGCCATTTTAATATCTTCTTTCAAAGTTGCCTATTTACTCATTTTTAATATTTAAATTTTTGATGTATGGTGTATTTAGCATAACCTTATATTCATTTTTCCCAAATAATTAAAAGTTTTTGTAAGTAACACTTTGACTGTTTAATGTTCTGACAAATGGATGTACTCGATTTAATCGCACATTGCTGGGCATTAGTTTGTATCTGTGTTTACAGTGTATAAATACCAGTGTGATAAACATAAACCTCACCCACTAATCTTTAGGCTTCATTCCTAGAAGTGTTATTGCACCAGTGGATGTGAACTGATATGACTGTTGATACACAATCCTAGATTGCTTTCCAGAATAGTTTGTCAGTGACGTGTGGGACAGAGTGGTCTTTAAACATTATCTTTGTACTGTTTTTCCAGAAATCTGAGTGGATGACAACAACTTGTAATCACGCACTTTATGCCATTTGTGACGTATTTACCCAGTTTTATGAAGCTTTGAATGAAGTTCTACTTCCTGATATATTTGCACAGTTGCAGTGGTGTGTAAAACAAGGTATTCTATGTCTCTAGGCATCATTTATCTTGACATAGTCCTTCATGATAGACTAATTTTTTCCACATATAAAAGCATGGCTATAATGCCAAGGAGTGCACTATATCATTTAATTTAAGGGTGGAGAACTTTTTTCTGCCAAGGGCCATTTATAAATTTATAACATTATTTGCAGGCCATACAAAATTATCAGGTTAAAAATTAGCTGCTATGCCGAAACCGGTTTGGTTCAATGGATAGAGCATTGGCTTGGGGACTAAAAGGTCCCGGGTTCGATTCCGGTCAAGGGCATGTACCTTGGTTGCGGACATATCCCTGGTAGGGGATGTGCAAGAGGCAGCTGATCGATGACTCTCTCTCATCAATGTTTCTAACTCTCTCTCTTTCTCCCTTCCTCTCTGTAAAAATCAATAAAATATATATATTTTTTTAAATTAGTTGCTATATTTGCTCAAACATTTCATTACTCACCCTAATGCCTTTGTTGGGCCCGACCAAATGATTGTCCCAGCCTTAGGTGGCCCTCTAGCTGGATGTTCCCCAACCCAAGTTAATTGGTGAAAATGTATTTTTAAAACTTTAATTAGGACAAAAACAATCTCTCAACCAAGTCAGTTTATATTTATTTAAGGTGGTCTGTAGTTATATTTTAAAAGATGTATCTTTTTGTAAGTTATACTATTTTTTTCTATTTTTGTCTATGTTTAAAATTTTCTATGATAAAACTTTTTTGTTTTGTTTTTAAATATATTTTGATTTTTTACAGAGGGGAAGGGAGAGAGATAAAGAGCTAGAAACATCGATGAGAGAGAAACATCAACCAGCTGCCTCTTGCACACCTTCTACTGGGGATGTGCCTGCAACCAATGTACATGCCCTTGACCGGAATCGAACCTGGGACCTTCCAGTCTGCAGACCGATGCTCTACTACTGAGCCAAACCGGTTTCGGCTGAATGACTTCATTTTTAAAAACACTGTTCGGATATTTTCCATCTTTTTTTACCATTTCTCATACAAGAAGCCAGTTAATTAGGTGGCAAAATATTGACCTTCCATCCCTAGCAGTAAAGCTATGAGAAATAATTTCTCCCCCACTTGAACTATAAAAATGTTAATTTTATCTGTAGCAATGCTGCATTAATTAAAAGCCTATAAACCCACCAATGGCGTAGTCTCCACAACATGAAGCATCAGCAATCTGGTTGACAAAGGGCAGTTGAAATTTAATGATAGATATTTTATTTTGCAGATAATGAGCAATTGGCTCGATCAGGTACAAATTGTTTAGAAAACTTAGTAATATCCAATGGAGAGAAATTCAGTCCTGATGTCTGGGATAAAACGTGCAGCTGTATGATGGATATTTTCAAAACAACCATCCCACACGTGTAAGTGTTAGTGTGATTATCATTATTTGTTTGTATGTTATGTGGAGTCTTGGAGCTCTGCGTTGCCTTGTAAGTGATCCTTTTCCTTCTCTTGCATTTTCTCAAGTTTGCTGACGTGGAGGCCTGTAGGAATGGAGGAAGACTCATCAGAAAAACATTTGGTAAGATTTCTTTTTGGTTCTCTTTTCTCATTTTATAGTAAAAGATTTAACAGCTCAAAGAGTTAACTAATGCTTTCCTGATGGGAAGTGAGTTAAAATGGTTATAAGATCTAAAAATGATATATGTTCATTAACACGGTTTTTCGAAAGTATAGAAAAATATTACGAAAATAAGTCACTCAATAAAAAACACAAAACATTTCTAGTGTGGTTTTTTCTTTTGTTTTGTTTTTTTAATGTGACTGACTCATGTAACCCACATATTTGAAATGTGGCTTACTTGGCACATAATGTATTACTTAACATTGTGAGCATTTTCCCACATTTTTAAATATTCTCTGAGAACAGCCTTTTCAGTAGCTACACATTATTATAATTTATTTAATGAATTCTCCCTTGTTGGACAGGTCAGTTCCCATTATTAATACTTCAGTATAATTATCTTTGTTTATTATCTTCCTAAATAAAGAGTACTTTTTCTCTCCACCAGTGAGTTGTTGTTGTTGTTTTGGGGGGTTGTTTGTTTTCAGAATTAATGATTTATATAGAAAAATGTTCAGTACATGCATAGTTTCATACCTGGCTTTCCAACTAAGCAAGGACTAATTGGAGTATCGGCTGCAGCGTGTTGGCACTTACTAAATGTTAACACATTAGCTGTATAACAGGAGTTACACAGACTGCGAAGTAGTAGTTGTTTTTTGTGTGCAGCCACAGAAAGTTCTAATTCAAGCCCCACCTTAAAATACTTTTGGTTTACAAGTATTTTACTTTCTGGTGATTTTTGTGTGGGGGGGGGGGGGGGTTCATTTTATAACCTTTTTTTTTTCAATTACGGTTGACATATACAACATAATATTAGTTTTGGGTATATAGCATAGTGGCTAGACACTTGTATAACTTACAAAGTAAACCCCCAATAAATCTAGTACCCCCATGACACTATACATAACTATTAAACTCTTCTTCTGTAGTTAATAGAAAGGGGAAAAGATGAGCTGTTACACTAAGTTTACTTTTTAATTTTATCTCATTAAAATTTGGTCATGCTCATTGTTAAATCATATGTTGAGAAATGCCCTCTAAATTGGAATGAGAAAATATGAAGTTTTAATGGAGGGACGAAATCATTGAAATCCGTAATCTCTCCTGTGCAGCCTCTGAGAGGTGTCACCTTATGCATGCAGTGTAATTGTACGTCAGGCTGAGCAAGACACTTACGTTTATGTTGAGCCCCAGTGTTAGGACAGGCACCACTCTGCCCAGGTGCTGAGTTCCAGATGAGAAGTGACCGTTGTATTTCTCTCTGGTTTACTTTTAGGATGTGGATCTGGACCGCCAGTCGCTAAGCAGCATAGATAAAAATGCCTCTGAGAGAGGCCAGAGCCAGCTCTCTAACCCCACCGATGAGAGCTGGAAAGGGAGACCATACGCAAGTAAGGCCACTTTTTTAAGTAGGTAACACATTGACGTGGTTCTGATATTCAGAAGGCAAAATAGGGTAAACATGATAAACCCTTCTACACTGTGCCTCAGTCTGCCAGTTCCTTCCCGTCTGGCCAACAGTGCCACCCATTTCTTAGGTGCCTTTCCAGAGACATTGGTTCATATGCGTGAAGTGCATGTCCATAACACACAAATATGTATGTACATGTAGACAGACAGATACAGATACATAGGTATACTATATGTACATATACTGTATATACTCATATATCGGTTCTCTCCTCTTGATGCAAATTGTAGAAGGCTATGCATTATTATTTTTTCACTTAATATATCTTAGAACTCATTCAAAATCAGTACTTAAATAGCTTTCACATTCTTTTACACTATTGTATATTATTCCAGGCTGTAGATGTTATTTGTGTAATTGGGTCCCTACTAAAAGACATAATAATATTGTATTATTCCCACTATTTTTTTGTTATAGTCAGTACTGCATGAATCACCCAACGGGTATTATTAATGAATTTATGTTACCATATGGCCCAAATTCCTAGTCATTGGATTGCTGGGTTAACTAATAAGTGCATTTGCCATTTTAGCAGATAGTCCAGATTGCTGCCCATTAAGGTTATACCTGTTTACATGATCTCTGGGAACATATAGGCGATATTTTGTATATTTGGAGTCATTTTAATTTGTAACTTTTTAATAATGAGACTGAGCCATTTTTTAATGTGTTTAAGAACCAATTCTATTTTATATGAACTATCTGTTCATAATCTTCGCTCATTTTGTATTGATTGTTGCTCTTTTTTTTTTAATTTATTGGTTTGGAGGAGCTCTTTATGTGCTAGAGATCCCTTTTCTGGATATTAGTTTCAAATTACTTTTGACAATTTGAATCTTGTGGTGTTGCTTCCGGTGTTTTTTCCTGTCATTTTTTTTAAATAGGTATACCTATTTTGCTATGAGCCAGGCAGTGTACAGTGTGTTTCATTTTTGTGATCTTTCACGTCTTGGTCTTTGGTCAGATACTACATTTTCAGAGCGGCCTTTCTTGACCACATGGCTTACATTTTCAAACCAATCCTGACACCATCCTTACCTTATCCCCACCCCTACGTGTCTTCATCGTTTGACATAGTACTCTGCCATACACTTAAATACCTTGTTTGTTTGTTGTCTGTGTCTGCCCCGGGAGCAGGGATTTTTATCTTGCTTATTATTGTTAGGCCACATCATCAAGAACTGTGCCTGGCACATAGTTGGAACTCAGTGAATATTTATTCAATACTGGCTGAATCATTATTAGGGTTAATCTTTATCATCTAATATAGATCAGAAACTGTTTGCCAGCCTCCTCATCAAGTGTGTGGTCCAGTTGGAACTGATACAGGCCATTGACAACATTGTGTTCTACCCGGCAACGAGCAAAAAAGAAGATGCAGAGCACATGGTTGCTGCCCAGGTAAGGAAAGCAGACCTCGAGAAGTTGTGCAGGTACAGTGGTGTGCTGGAACCAGCTGTTACTGGCTTGCAAGGGTCCATCATGCTCATTTTTCCCCAACCCCATGTTCAACATCATATTGGCCATAGCCGGTTTGGCTCAGTGGGTAGAGCATTGGCCTGTAGATTGAAGGGTCTTGGATTCAGTTCTGGTCAGGGGCACATGCCTGGGTTGTGGGCTTGCAGGAGGAAGCCAATCAATGATTCTCTCTCATCACTGATGTTTCTATCTCTCCCTCTCCCTTCCTCTCTGAAATCAATGATAGTATATTTTTTTAAAATAATAATGGTAGCTTCAAATTGGCCATGGTGGAAGTATCGTATTTACACCACAGAAATCAGCAAATACTAAACATCATGGCTTCTTTTTATTCCCCAGAGAGTTAGTTTATCAGCATACCACTGCTCAGATGCCATCCCCACCTTGAATATTATTAATCACAGGATTACTTCTCAAAATTGATATATAATTTAACCACAAGTGACTGAGAGGGGAAACATATGTGGATAATAATACCAGTTTTTCCTTGAGAAAGTACACATTTTGTTTTACATATACAATCTTCTGTGCACACCAGTATTCTTGGAAATAGAGACTTGAGTGTCCAAAATATGGAAAGTAACCTTATTACCAAGGGTTTTAAACTTAAGTGCCTCAGGGGCTAGCAGATCCTGTGAGTGCTAGCGGCAGGCTGAGGAGAGTCCAGGCTGGCTGGAGCCGAAGCCACGCCCAGCAGCAGCGGTGCTGCTGTAGGGGAGGCAAGTCTTAATGGTCTTCCCGTTTTCAGGAGAAACCAGAATCGAGATAGTTTCATATGGGAAATCACCTAATTAAGTACGGTAATATGCTGAGCAAAACATCTGTGATTCAAAGGCTATTTTTTTTAAGTGTACAATTTCGTGGTTTTAGTATAATCACAAAGTTGTACAAATATCACCATGGTCTAATTCCAGAATATTTTTTGTCACTGCCAAAGGGAATGCCCTAACCATTAGCAGTCACTTTCCCTTCTGGCTCCAGCCCTTGGTAACCACTAATCAAATCTACTTCTCTATGGATTTGCCTAACCTCGTTATTTTATATTAGTGGAATCATATATGTGAGCTTTGGTGTCTGGCTTCTTTCACTTTAGCGTAATATTTTCTAGGTTCATTCATGTTGCAGCTGGTATCAGTACTTTATTATCATTATTAAATATGACTGAATAGCCCTGGCTGTTTTGGCTCAGTGGATAGAGCATTGGCCTGTGGACTGAAGGGTCCCAGGTTCAGTTCCAGTCAGAGGATGGATCCCCAATGATCTCATCAGTGATATGTTTCTCCCTCTCCCTTCCTCTCTGAAATTAATAAAAATATAATATATATATTACATGAAGTACTCCATGTACTCCACATTTTGTTTATCCATTCATCAGTTGATGGACATTTGGGCTATTTTTATTGTTTGGCTATTGTGAATAATTCTGTTATGAGCATTTGTGTATAATTTTTCATGCGGATGTATGTCTTTAATTCTCCTGTATATCTAGAATTGGGACTGCTGGGTCATATGGCAACTCTGAGTTTACCTTTTTGAGGAATTGACAGACTGTTTCCCCCGAGGAGTCCCCGGCACAGGCCAGGCCGAGGGTCCCCTCAGTGCACGGATTCATGCACCGGCTCTCTAGTTTGTTATAAAGACTATTTTCCTCCAATGAACTATTCTGACACCCATTTTGGGAATTACTTGACCATAAATATAAGAATTTATATTTATACTAGAGGCCCATGCATGGATTTGTGCACATTGAAAGGAAATTAATTAGAAGGTGGCCGGCCGGACTAGGCAAGACAGGCCAGACAGGCCCTGGAGCCAACCTCCTGCAGTCCCTTCCTGGCCAGCAGCACCTGGGGCGGCGCCGGGCTCAAAGGGCAGCGGGCGTGACGAGGCCCCTCCATCAGATGGAGTCCCTCGGCCTGGCTGCGGGGATCAGGCCAAACCGGCAGTCTGACGTTCCCCAGGGGTCCCAGAGGGGGAGAGGGCGCTTTGTCACTTGGCAGCTCCTTTGTTAAGTGTCTGCCTCCTGGTGGTCATTGCACACATAGCTACTGGTTGGAGCATCTGCCCTCTGATGGTCAGTGTGCATCATAGCTGATGCTCAGACTGTCGCTTAGGCTTTTATATATCAATATATATATACTAGAGGCACGATGCACGAAATTCGTGCAAGGATCTTGGCCCTCACAGCTGTGGCAGCGGCTTTGTCCAAAAGGTCATTCCAAATGTTCAGCTGTCCAGTGTAATTAGCATATTATGCTTTTATTATTCTAGATTTATAAGGACTCAGTTCTGTTACATGGATCTTTATTCTACCTTTATGCCAATTACCACAGTCTTGATTACTGCAGCTTTTTATTGAGCTTTGAAATTGGAAAATATGAGTCTTCAAATTTTGTGCTTTTTTTTTTATATATATGTAAGAGTTTATTGGAGCCAAACTGATGACATTGGCAGGAAGCAAGCTCCCCAAAGCTCTTCTTTTTTCAAGATATTTTGGACATTCTTCACTTGCATTTTATATGACTTTTAAGACAGCTTGTCAGTTTCTGCAAAGAAGTTGCTGTGATTTTGTTAAGACGTTGACTCTAGATCAGTTTGGAGAATATTGCAAACTCTGCCCCTTTTGTCCTCTTGTAACCTCTGCCCTGTGAGGAGGATGGGGTCCATTCCAAGAAGGCTCAAGAGATATAGAATCCCTGATTGCATCTCACATTTCAGGCAACGTGTTCAATAAAATTTCTAGCATTTCACACATGTTTTTATGTGTTGTTTTCTTCACATTGGAAAACACAGTTGTTGAACTTAACCCTTTGTTCACTATAAGCGTCTATAGACGCGGGGGTTTCTGTTTTGGATGTGTGGCAGTTAAATGGTTAAGTTCATTAATCACCGCGGAAGCTAAAGATTCCAGTTAGGCTTTGCTTAATAATTTCTATCTTTCAGGGAGTATATTTTGAGACTTACATTTTCTGTCACATATACTACAGTTTGATTTTACAATTTTCCAATTTCTTTATAAAATAAAAAGAGAACAATGCACTCCTTTAGTGAATTAATTGGAGAAATATAGTGTTCATGCCATAAAGACAATAGTGACCAAACTGAAACATTGGCCAGCAAAGCCCACCAATGTGCCAGAGCTCAGAATATTCTCTAACCAGACAGTGTGCCGAGTCTTCATGGGAAATAGTTCAGGGTGTTAAGGAGTGCAGTCTGTCTTACACAGAGGATAGGATTTTTGGAAAGTATAACTCCCTGTATCAGATATCACCATGTCCAAAACCATTTCATCTTCCTTACCTAGCTCTCTATCCTCTCCTTTCTAGCAAGACACGCTGGATGCGGACATCCACATAGAGACGGAGGATCAGGGCATGTATAAGTGCATGTCTTCCCAGCACCTCTTCAAGCTGCTGGACTGCTTGCAGGAGTCCCATTCATTCTCAAAAGCCTTCAACTCCAATTACGAGCAGCGAACTGTCCTATGGCGAGCAGGTAAGGACACACAGCAGATAGGACAGGCGGCCACAGTGGTCATCACCCTAAAACCTTAAAGCCTTTGGGAGATTCCTGACATTGTACACATAGCTGGAATAACTCACCACCTGTTTCCATGCCTGAGGGAGAAAGAAAGGAATTGCTGGATAGATGTTATCACAGTACCAGGAATACTGTGGCTTGTGAGAGATTCTCAGTTTTTTATGGAAAAACAAGTTGAAAGAGAATTGAATTGATGTAATAAATAAAAAAAATTTACATTAGATTAAAATTGTTATATGATGATATAATAAGTGTAGTAGTCTAGAAGAAACAAAGCATTCATTCATTTTCTGAAGCTTTTAGGGGTCTATTCTCTTCCTCGCCTCCAAAAATATGTACATAAATCCTGGGGTGATGGTGGGAAGCTCATTTTTTTAATTTTGCACAATAGTGATACTTTATATAATTTATGTATTTCCATTACTTAAATCCCCAAATACCTATTTTAACTCAAATTTTTAAATCTCATTTTTCTCTCTGACTTTAAAATATCTAGATGTGTTGTCTTTGCCTATATTAAGGTCTTGCCTCTGAGAGTGGGTTCCACATCTCTGTGGTTGATTGGTACTGCTTTAAGAAAATGTGTTCTTAACCGTGCTTTGTGAGGGGAAAATTCTTGCAACGTGCTAGAATCTTGAGAAGCTGAAACAAATGGCTTCACCAGCCAGTGAGCAGAGTCGCAGGGAGCAGGGAGCAAGGAGCAGGCAGTGAGACCGTGTCTCACACAGAGCGCGGTGAGCTGCCGCACTGCCTTTGCCTGGTATCACATTTGAGCCATGTTAAGAATGTAAGCTGCCCCCTCTCTACAATCAATAAAAACATTTAAAAAAAAGAAGAAGAATGTGAGCTGTTTGGGTACTTTTTACTAGATTAGATTAGATTCCCAGATTTTTTTCAGCAGAAACCTAGAATGTGCACCATTTCAGTGACGATCTGATCTCTAGGTTTTAAAGGCAAGTCTAAACCCAACCTTCTAAAACAAGAAACCAGCAGCCTGGCCTGTTGTCTGAGGATCCTGTTTCGAATGTATGTCGATGAGAATCGCAGGGATTCCTGGGAAGAAATACAGCAGCGACTCTTAAAGTAAGAAAATTGGTTTTGATTAAATTGCTTATCTGTGATACACAAAATGCACCACCGCAATACCATGAATTGAGAAGAGCAGGAGAAAAGTACCTATACACGGATGTTCTTTCATACTGTTTCCTGTGTGTTTTTCCTTCTCTTTGGTGACTTTTCATTTTCTTTTCTTTTTTTAATGTATTTTATTGATTTTTTTACAGAGAGGAAGAGAGAAGGGTAGAGAGTTAGAAACATCAATGAGAGAGAACCATTGATCAGCAGCCTCCTGCACACTCCCCACTGGGGACATGCCTGCAACCGAGGTACATGCCCTTGACCAGAATTGAACCTGGGACCTTTCAGTCCGCAGGCTGACGCTATACCCACTGAGCCAAACCGGCTAGGGCTCATTTTCACTTTTCTTAATGCCCTGAAGATGGCAGCGCCACATTTCTTTAATTTGTCCTTTTCTCAGAAACAAAAACAGGCCAGTGAAAAGTGCCCTGTGCTCAGTCAGCAGGGTTGAACTGAAGTCCTTGCTAGGTTCTCTTCCGAGCACTGTCAGCCCTGACATCCTATCACTTCTTCTTTCCAAGAGGAATGGATAGAACCATATGAATGCCACGATGTATTAGGTCTAGTAATAATTAATGTCGTTTTCTAATACTTTAAATCGAATTTATTTAAACAATACAACAAAATTTAATCAACAATATAGTTGCTGTTGTTTTCTACTACTTGTGCCCAACGCTCAGGAAGCATTTTAATCCCTCTGTTGTAAAATTCTTGTGATTTTGATGCAAAAAATTTGGTCAATGCATTTTTGAGGCATTCTTCATTATTAAATTTTTTTCCAAGAAGAAAGTTTTGCAAAGAACGAAACAAATGGTAATCGGAAGGGGCAATATCAGGAGAATATGCAGGTTGAGGGAGAACTTCCCATTCCAACTGGCGCAGTTTTTCAGCAGTGATTCTTGCAGTATGCGGTTGTGCGTTATCGTGGTGAAGAATTACGCCCTTCCGATTAATCAGCATGGGTTCTTTTTCTCTTAAAGCTTGGGCTAACCTTTCCAATTGGGCACTATACACTGCACTTGTAATGGTTTGGTTAGATGGTAAAAGTTCATAATAAAGAATTCCTTTAAAATTCCACCAAACACACAACATCACTTTTTTTGCATGGAAGTCAGGTTTTGGCATGGGCTGCGGAGCCTCATTTTTGTCCAACCATTGAGGCCGCCTTTTCAAATTAAAATACAGCACCCATCCTTCATCTCCGGTAACAATTTGCTCTAAAAACGGCAAACGGTTTTGACGAGAGAGGAGCGAACTGCAAATTGTGACTCTTTGATTACGGTTGTTGTCGGTCAACTCATGAGGAACCCATTTTCCAAACTTTTGGACTTTGCCAAGTGCACGCAATTGATTGGAAATTGTTTTTTGTGAACAATTTAAAGTTGTCGCAAGCTCTTGTTGGGTAATTTGAGGATTTTGCACCAAAAGAGCTTGAAGAGCTTCTTGATCAAAATTGGACACACGGCCTCGACCACTCTTGTCATCTAACGAAAAATTTCCCTCGCGAAATTTCTCAAACCAACGCTGGCATTTTCTGGCGCTAACTGCATCTTGACCAAGAGCACTGCAGATGTTTTTTGCAGCCTCACTTGCTTTTCTTCCTAATTGGAACTCGTAAAGCATGCAGTGCCGAATATGCTCTTCATCCGCCATCTTCTTAGCCCTAGTTTTGCAACAAAAACCAAACCAAACACAAACTTTTTCAAGCAAAACTTGTTAATTGCACTTCACACGTTCTGTAGATACCACGTGTTTGAAGGTTATGTCAATGCAAGTCAACGCCAAGCAAGATTTAAACGAATGTTTAAAAACGACATTAATTATTACTAGACCCGATACTTACTTTGATTGTGGGGAGACAGTGAGATGCCATTGGGAGCTCCCCAGACAGAAAAAGTAGATTTTGCCACCTAGTTTCTTGGGCAAGATGCTATGTCAGAGCCTCCATTTACACCTTTCTTCTTCTTAATATATTTTTATTGATTTCAGAGAAAGGGAGAGGGAGACAGAGAAAAAAAATCAATGATGAGAGAGAATCATTGATTAGCTGCCTCCTACACACATTCTACTGGGGATTGAGCCTGCAACCCAGCCATGTGCCCTGACCGCGAATCAAACCGTGACCTAGTTCATAGGTCAACACTCATCTGCTGAGCCATGCGGGCCTGGCTCCATTTACACCTTTAGGATTTAAACCAGCAGTGTGCACTGCTGCCTCTGTGCCTCCGTGTGGGCTGTATTGACAGGTTCTTCCTGGAAATCAGGTGTCGTTATAAATCAGGAACCTAAAGATGTTCACTCCTTTGCGTCAGTAATCCACTGTGACAGGATCTATTTAAAAAAATTCTAAAATATAGTCAACAATAGATGGAGCCAAAACCGGTTTGGCTCAGTGGATAGAGCGTCGGCCTGCGGACTGAAGGGTCCCAGGTTCGATTCCAGTCACAGGCATGTACTCTGGTTGTGGGCACATCCCCAGTGAGGGGGGGTGTGCAGGAGTCAGCTGATCGATGTTTCTCTCTCATTGATGTTTCTAGCTCGCTCTCTCCCTTCCTCTCTGTAAAAAATTAATAAAATATATATTTTTTTTTAATTCTAAAATATAGAAATAAATATTCCCACACATTAATATTGTTGGCTTATAAAAAGAAAACATTTAAAACAGCTCAACTGTTAAATTACAGTATAATCTATAATAGAATATTAATACACACCCATTAAAAATAAAGTTTTTAAAAAATATTTTCTCTGATGTGGAAATCAGTAAGTTTCACCCCCAAAAAAGCAGATATAAAACTATGTTGTATACTTAGGATTTTCAGCAGTGTTTTTTTTGTTTGTTTGTTTGTTTAATAAGTCTTTATTGTTCATATTATTACAAAAGTTCCTCATTTTTTTTTCTCCTCCACCAGGTTCCCACCCCACCCTCTGCCCTTTCCCCACCCCCCATTGTCCTCATCCATAGGTACACAGTTTATGTTCAGTCTCTTCCCACACCCCCACTCCTCTTTTCCCCAAAAATTGTCAGTCCACTCCCCTTCCATACCTCTGATTCTATTATATTCAACAGTTAATATTGTTCATCAGGTTTTTTAATTCCCTTGGTTTTTAGATTCACTTGTTGATAGTTACATATTTGTTGTTCATAATTTTTATCTTTATTTTCTTCCTCTTCCTAAAGAACCCCCTTCAGCAATTCATATACTTCTGGTTTGGCGGTGATGAACTCCTTTAGTTTTTTTTTATTAGTGAAGCTCTTTATCTGGCCTTCGATTCTGAGTGATAGCTTTGCTGGATAGATTATTTTTGGCTGTAGGTTCTTGCTATTCATCACCTTGAATATTTCTTGCCATTTCCGTCTGGCCTGCATGGTTTCTGTTGAGAAATCAGCTGACAATCGTATGGGTGCTCCTTTATAGGTAACTACCTGCTTTGCTCTTGCTGCTTTTAATATTCTCTCTTTGTCTTTTGCTCTTGGAATTTTAAGTATGATGTGTCTTGGTGTGGTTCTCTTTGGATTCCTTTTGTTTGGGGTTCTGTGCGCTTCCTGGACTTGTAAGTCTATTTCTTTCCCCAGGTGGGGGAAGTTTTCTGTCACTATTTCTTTCAATATGTTTTCAGTATCTTGCTCTCTGTCATCTTCTGGGACGCCCATAATTCTGATGTTGGTTCGCTTGAAGTTGTCCCAAAGGTTTCTTACACTATCTTCAACTTTCTGGATTCTCTTGTCTTCTTGCTTCTGCGGAGGAGTGTCCTCTGGCTCTGTGTTCCAAATCTTTGACTTGATTCTTGCAATCTTCCATTCTGTTTTTAGGACTCTGTATAATTTTTTTTATTTCAGAGAATGTATTCTTCATTTCTAGTTGATCCTTTATTATTTCTAGTTGATCCCTTTTCATATCTTCATAGGTCTTGTTTATTTTATCGGCCTTTTCTAGGAGATTCTTGAAAAACCTTATAAGCGTGGTTTTGAACACTATATCCAGTCGCTTTTTGTCCTCCATTTCTTTCGTTTGTGATCTGTTTCCTTGTCTTGGCATTTTCGCTGCTTCCCTGAGTTGGTAGGGCGGGAGGATCAGCTGTATCTATGCCAGGAGACAGCCTTATTCGACTAGACTTGGAAAACTGCAAGAGCCTCTGTGCTCAGCTTGGATGGGGCAGAGTTTCAGGGTGGAGCCTACAGCCTTGGTTTCTGGTTAGCCCCGCCCTATGAGGTTCCTGAGTCTCAGTGTTCCTCAGTATCCTTTTGTACTTGCTGCAAGCACCTCTGAGAGAAAGATGCCCTAGAGTAGGGGTGTCGAACTCAATCAGAGAAGGGGCCAAAATCTAAAATCCAGCCTAAATCGCGGGCCGAATGGTTTACTGAACAGTCATAAACTGTCATTGTGATGGAAACGCAGCGGAGTGCAGTGATGACAGCGCGGTGCGGGCCACATTGCAAGGCCTGGCGGGACGGATTTGGCCCGAGGGCCTTGTGTTTGACACATGTGCCCTAGAGTTTCACCCGCTACTAGGCAGTCTAGTCTCTCCCCCAATGAGCCTGAAACGGGGGTTCAGTGCAGTTGGAAATGGGGTTAAGAGCAGTCCGGAACTTATATCTCCTTCCCACTAGGGCAATCCAGCGGCTCAATCAACAGTCCTCTGCGCGAAATATGCGTGACTCCGGGGCTCTGCCTTTCGCCACTCCCCTGAGCTTCCACCTTACAGCCCAGATTCCCTCTGTATGTGTCTGGGTCCCCAGGGTCTCGCTCAGAACTGGGGTTCAGCACAGTCCAGAGCTTTTATCTCCTTCCCGCTAGGGAATGCCAGCCAGGCACTCAGCCGCCCCTCCTCTCTGGCTCCGTCCTCTCCGCGCGCACCGCGTGGCTCCGTACCTTAGGCTTTTACAGCTCCTCTGATTTTCCTTCTGGTTTTCTTTTTCCTTCTTGTTGTAGAGTTTCCAGTCAGTCAACTTTCCTGTAGTTCTGGATAACGTCCATTTCTATATTTTAGTTGTATTTTTTGAAATTGTTGTGTGAGGCTGCAGTTAGGCAGTTATCTATGCCGCCATCTTGTTTCTCCCTCTTCAGCAGTGTTTTGTGGGGAGGTTTTTTATCATAAAAAAGTTGGAAGGAAATACTATGCCAAAATATTGTCACATGTCCCTCAGGATGATAGAATTATGGATATTTTCCTTTTTTTTACTCTTATGCACTTTTCAGCTTCTTACAAAAAGAGTATATGACTAACAAGTCAAACTGAAAAAAGGACTAAAGGACACACCAGTTGCTCATTTCAACTTAAACCCAACAGAGATTTACCTACATAGTTGTGTAAAGTTTCTCTAAAGAAGATACATACATGTTTTTAGCATAACATGTTTTAAGTACAGCAATCATATGTGATCTGAGAAGAAAAAGGCAGGTTATAATTAATTGTGGATAATAAGTTCTCATGCTTTTTGTGCTGCAAACACTGATTGAGCCCCACCTATGTGCCAGGGCTGAGCTTAGCTAACATTTAACATACGTAGTCCATTTAATCTTCACAACAGCCCTTGAGTTTGGTATAGTTATTTATCCCCATTTTACAGCTGAGGAAACTGAGGCTCAGATTTGCTCAGGATGGCACAGCAGAGCAGGTGCTTGGTAAATACTCACTGTGAGAATAAAGCGTCCTCCACCCCGTAGAACGTGAGCTGTTCATCTTTCGTTCCATGTGCCCTTCTGATTCTTGCAGTGTGTGCAGTGAGGCTCTCGCCTACTTCATCACCGTGAACTCTGAAAGCCATCGGGAGGCCTGGACCAGTCTCCTGCTGTTACTCCTAACAAAAACCCTCAAAATAAACGATGAAAAGGTATAAGCAAATAAACAGGTTTGGGTTGGCTTTTTACTCAGAGTGCAAGGTAACTATCTTCTCAACTCTTCCAAGGATGCTTACATGGCCAGTAGCATTGTACATGACGGGGGAGGGTGGCTCATTGCAGACAAGGGAAGCCTTGGGTAACTGGGTTTTTCTCCCTCAGAACCCAGCTGGGAAAGGCTGGCGTTGAAGCCATAGCAACATGCAGGCTATTGAGCACGGCAGTGTCCTCAGTGAGGCTGTTGGAAAAGACTGAGATTGGGCAGCACTGGTCTAGCGCTGGGAACTTGTTTTACTAAAACTGAAGTTGCCTTTTGTAGCAAGGCTATCCCTACATTTGTGTTTGGAGTTAAATATAAGGAAAACAAGTTTTAATTGGAAAATTTTTTGCACCAACTTTCAAATAGCAAGAAGCACCAATACTGCAAGAAGTTCAAAGTGAGGGGAACACTTTTGTAACAAGTAGTTCTGTGTCTAATGTGCTCTCTCTCCTTGTCTCCCCCCTCAAGTTTAAAGCACATGCTTCCAAGTACTACCCCTACCTGTGTGAGATCATGCAGTTTGACCTGATCCCTGAGCTCCGGGCGGTTCTGCGGAAGTTCTTCCTGCGGATAGGTGTGGTGTATAAGATATGGATTCCCGAAGAGCCAGCACAGGCAGCAGGCACCCTGCCACCAGAGTGGTAGCCCTGGCCCTGCTGCCCTGCAGAAAACTCGCCACATCGCCTCTGCTGGCCCCTCTCCTGAAGGGGCAGATCCTAGAAACAGGAGTCGGCATCTTGGAGCTCAGGGTGGTCTGGATAACGCTGGCCTCTGCGCTGGTCCCTCCGCGGCCCTGAATAGGGCGTGTGGTTGTATTAAACTGCTGCAGACCAGTTAGCACAGCGGGCGGGGAGTCTCCCATCTCTGTCCTTCCATTCCACTGACTGAACTGCCAGTCAGACCTGTCGCTGCACATGCTGTCCTCTCTGGGGACGTCCCAGGATGGACTGCAGCCATCTGTCAGAGGAAGTCGCTCTCCTTTAAATACTGGACATAGCTGTATCGGTTCGTGACTGTTAGTCTGTTAATAAAATTTCTTGTAACGGCCGAGTGCCACCCTATACGCTGGGTTTGTTGTTGTCTGAGTGTGTTAGCCAAGTCCGAGTGTCTGTCAGTTGTGAGTCAGCTTCGGTAGATTAGTTTGGGGAGATGTAGGGGACAGAAGAGGGTGTTTCCGTTTTTGTTTATGTCTGAGTGATTTTTAAAGTATTTTACAAAACATGATTGGAGATTTGATTGAAGGCAGGGTTTAGTGATTAAGTTAGAAGAGTGTGCAAGGTTAAAGAGAAGTAGTGCCTCCTGCTCTGCCTGTTTTAGTCACTTGGGGAGGAAAAGTCTATGGGAAAAGAAAAAAATGTAATGAAGATTAGCCTTCCTTGAAGTAAGTACTTGTGGTGGATGGGTATCAAATTAAATTTCCAGGATACTTGGTCCATCTCACACACTGAAATCTAATATATGAAGTAGTAATTTAAGAGTTAGTTTATATTTGAGTAAACCTTTTATTTTTACCTCAGAATAGTGAGCGTACCAATGGTTAGTGTCCTGGCTCTGCACGGTCCCCAGTGAAGGGGCCGCAGAGAGGGCAGTGGCTGTGCGGAGCGGGATGCCCTGACCTCGGTCCGTGACCTTGGCAGGAGGCGACATGTGCCCAGTGCTTCTGCTGATCTAAGCCCAGGAGCTGAATTCTTTGGAAGGTTCCATTCTGAGGCCCTTTCTGTGTTAATGATAGTGCAATATTCTCAGCTGCAGTGGAACTGGGTTCTGACGCACCTTATGTAAACACGGGCTGTGTACTTGGACGTTCCCTCTATTCGGAGCCCGTGAGAAAGAGCACACACCTCACGTCTGTCCTCGCCCGCCGCTCGCCTGGAGCAGCCCTCGGCATTAGAAAGTGTTACAGAGTCCGTAAAGCATTCACACTCTACCGACGCCCTTCGTCCTGTAAATTGGGTTATAACAGTGTCAACTCTGGTGCCTTAGAAGTTAGTAAGTTGGGAACCTATCTATAAAATCAGATTTTTTTTTCTTGATAGAGAAGGATTTCTGGTGCTTTTGTTTATTGAGAAACCCATTTCTTAAATGTTTTTCTTTTCAACAGCCTTGAGAAATGTTTGGTTTGGGCCAGCAGTACTCTGTATACTTTTTTTTCTTTCCCTAAAAGTGTTTTCATTTCTTTACCAAAGAAAAAAAGCAGGTTTGTGTTTTTACGTTACTTACACACATTTACGAGGAGCTGTGGAACAGGAAGGGACGCGGGAGAGCACACTGGACTGACTTGTCTTGAATCCGTTACATCTTGGCCCTGACCGTGGGAGCCGTCCGTCCTAAGACTGGCTGACTCCTGGTTCTAGGCTCTGTCACAGCCCAACACGTCGGTCCTCCCCATCGACACTTGTATAAAGCATAAACGGGGAACACGCATGTTCACTACATTTTCGGTACAGCTGCATCCCTGAGATTTTTCCTTTCCTTCTGAGATTGTCATATGACATTTGCTTCATGGACAGTGACTGCAAGACTTTTCCAGTATATTCCTGCCTTTTCTTTAACTTTTGCCTCCTTTTGTGGAGTAAGAACTGTGTAGTACATTTTGTTACATTCAGGCTTCCATTTCTTTTTAACTTTGTCTTTTAAACAATTCCATTTTCTAAATGAGGCATTTGAATTGTACCAGCGTGGACTTTTAAAAACTGGACGTAAAACCATTAAGGGTAATTTTTCTTATCTTCAGACCGTGACATACAGAGGAATCCGTTACCTCCAGTAATAAGCCATTCAGCCTAAACTCCACTTGTCTCGTGGCGCCCGTGGCTGTGCCATCAAACACTAGTGAGAGGGTGTGTGGGCTCGCTGGGCCGGGACCCCGTGTACTAGCCAAGGAGAAGAGGGAAGCATTTCCAAGGCCTTATTTCTTTCCCAGAATGCTTTACGTGTTGATTGTATGTGCCGGGTCTCCAGAGAAGTTTTGTTATAATACTGCTGCTTTGAGCAATTTTGTTCTCCTTTATTGTCCTTTATAGAAATCACCAGCTTTGGTATCTTAACAACAAACAGATGGGAAATTTCATTTCAAATACGCATCTTTAGAACAAACACACTTTTCCCTGGTATTCCTCACATACAACCAAAGAATAAACATGGAAATTGTGTAATAATATCTGGAAACACAAACATTTTCCTCTGACAGGTGACTTTTGTACAAAACGCAAAAAAGAAAAAAACTCCTTTTGAAGTTCTTTTGTGATTATGGCTATAGATTTAGTAGTCTTTAATAGTTATTAAAGGAACCTGTTGACAAAAGTATGACCATCTCATTCAGATGTTTGTTGTTATGATCCAAATGGTATTGGTTTAAACAGAAGCTGGATTCTCAGTACTGCGTTTTTTTAATTCTGTTTCTATATTTGTGTTAAGGTAAACATAGCTTGGACTCACGTGAAACCTTGGAGTTTTGCTATCAGCAGCTTTGTAGTTTGGGAAACAAAGAAACCAAAGTTGAGTGTTTAAAAGAATGAATATATCTGGAAATCTTTGCTGTCATAAAAAGATACTCATCAAAGGTGTCGTTTTTCTCAGTGTTCTAATTTTTTAAAGAATTTTATCTGCATATCAAATATTTCTTTACGAGCAACATACATGTTTTACCTTCTTAAAATGCCTAAACGTTAATAGCTACTTTTGTTTAATCTAAACACAATGATTAAGTGCATTTAATATTGGTAATTTAATGAAAAGTATTCCTTTCCCAATGGATGTATACATTTTTGAAAGAATAAGCAGAATTATATAATATGAAATGCTATGTAAAGTTTTCTATGTAAAAATATTATGTATAATACTGTTAAAATATCCCATGCTTTAATCAAGTGGTAAATCAATAAAGTTTTAAAAAGTAAAGCTGGTTTTCATGGAGTAATTCATATGTATATCAAGCCATAGTTTGGGGTTAGTTTGTTCTTATGGTAGCCATAGATACATTAATGAAAGTGAAACATGGGTCAGCTGCTTCTGCACACTCCCTCCTGGTGATGGAGCCCACAAACCCAGCATGTGCCCTGACCTGGAATCAAACAGGTGACCTCTTGGTTCCTGGGTTGATGCTCAACTGCTGAGCCACACCAGTCAGACAATGGGAGAATATTAATTAAGGGTTTGGGGGCTTTCCGAGTACGGTTCCCCTTTTCTCCCTCCTTCCCCCCACCCCTAAAGGGGGAGGAAATCCAGTCATTAAACGATTCTTATTTCTCTCTTGAACCCACTGTCACTCATTAATTAGTTTGGTCAGTGCATTTGTTCCCAAGAAAAGACTGATGTGTCCCCTCTTGCTGGCGTTGAGGGCAAGGTTGCAGAGGGAGACTCGCAGGGCAGCCAGCTGGTCGCTGAGTGGGAGGCAGTGCTGAGGTTCACCCAGAATGCCCACATAGGAAGATGGTAAGCTCGAGGCCTGGCTTCACTGCCTCTGAATACAAAATCCATCCTTTCTGAAACATTCTAAAGTTGTAAATCATTGTACTTAAAATGCGCCACTGATACGTTGTTATCTTTATTAATTCGCTGGAGTAAATGTCTGTGGCATTATGTTTCAGGAGCTCCTGGTGAGGGCTTCAAGAGGGCACCCTTTCCCTGGAAAAGGCTTCTAAGAGCATCTCGCAGAGCAGGTGGAGCCTGGGTTTTATTTTATCTAGAGCAGTGGTTCCCGGGTCTGTCCTCGGGACAGTGGCAACATCTGGAGACAATTCTGGCTGTCACCTGGGGTTGGGGTGGGGTGTATCTGCCCCCCCCCCGGAAGTGGTTAATGGAAACTGCGGAACAGGGATGCTGCTAAACAGCCCACCACACAGAATTGCCCAGCCCCATGTCAGTGGCGCTGAGGTCGAAAAGACCTTAACTGAAGTGACTTCCTTCTCTTCGTCTAAAAAGGCTTCTTCAGCTTGGTTTTGTGAGGCCTACAAGTCCATCTGTGCCATACACTTTCAGCTTTCGTTGGCCTTCCTGTTATTAAAAAAGTCACTTCTGCTTACCCATTCTAAGGAGGAAAGCAGGCTGAGGTCCCTGGCTGGGGAAGGACCAGCTGGACTTGGTTTAAAGTGCCTCTTAGTTAAGCATTTTGAAAGATGACCTCAGCATTGTACTGCATTTGTGTCCTGCCAACAGAATGGGGCACGTTTTAGGCAAAAGTAAGTTTCCATTTTCAAGAGACCAGAGTGGTTCCCGGGAATTTTTGCAAACTTGTATAAGCATGCCTGTTGTCCAGTTTAAGAAATCCGCTGAATTGTCCTTGGTTAGTTATTTGTGTCATGCCTCGGGAGTTTCCAGCTTAGCAAATGCAACTATATACCCACAGCAAAAGGAAAGACGAAAGGATGGGACTGCCCCAAGGATTCTGGCAATAGGTATTTTTTAATGCCTATTTCCAGACAAAAGCTGACCTTATCTGGTGCTCAAGTGATAATTGAGTCTTTGAGGAAAGTTTTATTTAATAGGGAATTTTCATTTTTTTCCAAGAGACTCCCAATCTTTGCATAAAGCTTCTATAGCATCCTCTTCATTAACCTAATTCAGATTTGCTTAAAGAATTTATCTTGATTTATTCTAAGAAATACTCATGTGACCTGGAACTAATATAAAGTAATATTGAGCTTCTGCATAGCAAAAAAAAAAAAAGAGAGAGAGCGCGCACGCGCGTGCACGCGCACGCGCACAAGCACCCACTGAATGGGAGAACATACTTGATACATCTGATAAAGGGTTAATATCCAAAATATGTAAGGAACTCATACAACTTAACAAAAGGAAGACACACAATACAATTTAAAAATGGACAAAGGACCTAGATAGACAATTCTCCAAAGTGGGCATACAGATGGCCAAGAGACATGAAAAAATGCTCAAAGTCACTAACCATCCAAGAGTTGCAAATTAAAACAACAATGGAGTGTCACCTCACACCTGTCAGAATGGCTACCATCAACAAAACAACAAATGACACATGCTGACGAGGATGTGGAGAAAAGGGAACCCTAGTGCACTGCTGGCGGGAATGCAGACTGGTGCA